ATGATGAATGGTATAGTCACAGGCAGGCTTGGAAACTGGAATCTGCTGCGATTGTAGAGCCTCCAACGAACTTTATTACTGAGTTTCATTCTAAGGGCAAGAGAAGGTAATTCTCCCTATTATCCTAGTTGAAAACTTACACATCTTGATTTTAATTTCATGCAAATCTTCTCGTCTTTCAGGCCTAGATGGGCGCTCATTGACAAGGCGTACATGCACAACACATGGAGATCATCTCAATCGTCCTATCATCTGTTTCGTACCAATGGGAACTTCTCTCCACCAGAATCATTGACACTTTTGGTTGATGATCTACTGACCCTCTGCCTGCACAACTATGAGACTGTTCGAGTGTGAGTACTTGCGTGCCCATCTATGGTCTAAATATGAATCTTAATGAACAATTGGTTATAGGGCCTTAGGTTTTGGAAAGCATTAACCACCCTCTTGAACCAGAATTTCGTCTGTAAATTTCTTTACGCCTTCTTTCAATGCATTAATTGACTTGGCTTTGCTTTTAAATTCACTGGTGGTGTGCAGGCTTGCTGGAAAATCATTGCTGAAATTGTTAAAGAGATGGCCGCCATTGCTTTCAAAGTGTGTTCTGTCCCTTAGTGAGAACTTGCGAAATCATGATGCACCAGAGAATGTAGTCCTTGGTTCTTGTGCCATTCTCTCTTCACAGAGTGTTCTCAAGCATTTGACAACGGTAGTCATTTAGTGTTAGTTATTCTTTGCTTTATTTTTAATTGTAAAATCTTATGTTTGTTCTGCTACTCCAGGATCCAAAATCATTTTCCTCTTTTCTTCTTGGGATTCTTTCAAGGTAGCCTTTTTACATTTCCAAGATCAATTAATATCCCTTGGTAAGGACAAATGTGTTTGTAAATTGGTATTAATATCTATTTTGAATCTTTGTAGTTCTCATCACGAATCTATGAAAGCCCAAAAAGCAATCATTGAGGTAAAGTTTCAACCTTTGTTACTAGGGTAAAGGCCTTTTTCTTTCTTTGAGTTTTTGCCTGAAGCTTTTATGCTTGCAGCTTTTTGTCAAATATAACATTCACTTCGCGGGACTGTCTAGAAACATACTTCGCTCATTGGACAGCCATGTTGAGGGGTCTACCTCTGGAGATCTAATTTCTCAGATCGGCTCCATGAGCTTTGACTCTTCTAGCTTGCATTGGCGGTATATATACCCTACCATTAATCTGTTATTCATTGGAAAATCATTTTCATATACATAGTTAAACTTTTAGCTCCTCAACTCTCAGATTTAATAATTTTGAAGGTATGGAGCCATTATGCTCTTTTTTTCTTTTCTTTTCTTATGACAGGTACAACTTGATGGCTAACAGAGTGCTCCTTCTGTTAGCTATGTCCTCTAGGATTGACCCAAGCTTCTCCTTCAAAATCCTTGATGAAACTGCTGGTACAGAGTTTTAGATGGTCGTATATATGGGAAGGCTTTTTCTTCACGTTATTTGAGTTTCTCCTTCTTAACTAAGGTTATGTTGATATTTCCAGGCCACTTCCTGAAAAACTTGAAAAGTCAACTTCCGCAGACGAGAATACTGGCAATTTCAGCTTTAAACACGCTACTTAAAGAATCACCTCATAAGATGCAAGGCAAGGATCAACCTTCTGTGTCTTCCCAAGAAAATGCCAACTCATCCCTTGATTTAGCGTTGAGCCAAATTTTTCGAGAGGAAGGATTCTTCAGGGAGACTTTTGAAAGTCTTTCTCACATTCATATCACTGACACTGATAGTTCCTCTAGAGGTAATCACGGTTCATCATTCCAGAGCATGGCGGACAAGTCAATCACTCGTTTCTATTTCGAATTTTCGGCTTCATGGCCAAGAACGCCTAGTTGGATATCTTTGTTAGGAAGCGATATATTCTATCCAAGTTTTGCTCGCATTTTTAAGCGCTTAGCACAGGAATGTGGAGTGCCGGTGTTGCTGGCACTTAAAAGCCCCTTAGAAGAGTTTTGTAATGCCAAGGAGAGACCAAAACAGTGTGTTGCTGCTGAAGCATTGGCAGGTGTACTGCACTCTGATGTTAATGGTCTTCTTAGTGAGTGGGATAGCTGGGTAATGGTTCAGTTGCAGAATGTTATTCTTGGCCAATCAGTAGAATCCATACCGGAGTGGGCTGCTTGCATACGTTATGCTGTCACAGGGAAAGGGAAACAAGGAACCAAAATTCCTGTCATGAGACAACAAATTTTGGACTGTATCGTGGCACCATTGCCACCAACCGCAACCACCACTGTTGTTGCAAAGCGGTATGCTTTTCTTTCGGCTGCTCTAATAGAACTGTCTCCACCAAAGATGCCCGTATCAGAAGTGAAACTGCATATCATGCTTCTTGATGAGTTGATCCGCAATATGTCCCATTCCTCGGCACAAGTAAGGCTTCTCACATTCGTTTATTGTACTCTTACAGCTCTGCCTCTGTTGTTTTCATGTAGGATCATGCATGTGAATGTATTTTGACAAGCTTAAAAGGGTCAAAATCAAATTCTGAAAAGCCTGTTACTTTTGTGTTACAATGAACAGATAAGGGAAGCTATCGGTGTAATTCTTTCAGTATTATGCTCCAACATTCGGCTGCGGATGTCATATCATCAAGAACATCCATCTGAAGAAGGGAGAACAGATGTTGATAGCCGAATTGAGGAGGAAAATTGGTTCAAGTTGATTAGTGAAAAAGCATCTGAAGCAGTTACAAACATTCAACAAGCTAGCATATCAGATAGCTTGGACACTTCAACAGATGTTGATATGGATAATGCTCCGTCAAATGGCGATTCTCTAGATGATGTGAAATGGATGGAGACGGTACTGACTGTCTCAGTTTTTGGGAGAATTTTAATTTCCTCCTTTTATTTGAGACATTTGATACTAATCTCTCTCTCCCTTCTTTTTAATCTTATCTATAGCTCTTCCATTTCATAATCTCATCTTTCAAATCTGGGAGGTCTTCATATCTGGGAGATGTAATTGCGGGATTCCTGTATCCGGTGATATCTTTACAGGTATATCTGTTATATATATATATATTTTTAACTCTCTTATCTTCTAAATTGCTTTTCCATGACTGAAGATTTATTGCCATTTATTGAAGGAAACATCGCATAAAGATCTGTCCACATTGGCTAAGGCAGCCTTTGAGCTGCTGAAGTGGCGGGTGTTCCCAGGATCTCAGCTACAGAAAATTATTGGAGTTATTCTTTCTTCTGCTGGTGACTCTAACTGGCGGATAAGATCTTCAACCCTGACATATCTGCGAACTTTTATGTACAGGTAATAGATATATATATATATATATCTATATATATATGATCGATATAGCAAGATGACAAATGCGCTGTTGATTAACGAAGCTTTTCTATTTTGATCTTTCGTACTAGGCATACTTTTATACTCAGTCACGAGGAGAAACAGAAAATCTGGAAAACCGTAGAAAAACTCCTTGTTGACAGCCAAGTAGAGGCAAGTTCTACATTTGCTTTTTTCACATCAGGATTTTGTTGTTGTCCACTAAAGTTTTTGTTTGATTATTCAATCTTAGTGATTAATTTATATCTGGATACATCAAGCGCGTAGGGCTTGCACCTCTTTTAAACGATATGATCTGGTCTTCAGGTACGAGAGCATGCTGCAGCAGTTTTAGCAGGCCTAATGAAAGGAGGAGATGAAGATTTTGCTGCAGATTTTCGTGATAGATCCTATGCAGAGGCAAACTCAATCCAAAAGAAAAGAAACCGGAGGTTTTCCTTTCGTCCCTCTTAACCATTTTCATCTTAACTTTTTGTCTCCAAAGATGATACTGAGAGAAAAAAATGAAAAAAAAGGGCTGTGATTGGCATATCTTTTCCTCGGTTTTTTGTTTTAACGTGACCTAAGAATCAAATCGGTTCGTTTTAGGAAATCAAGTTCAACTCAGTCCATCGCAGAGGTGCATGGAGCCGTTCTTGGTTTGGTAGCTTCAGTTTTGTCTGTTCCTTATGACATGCCCAGGTTTAAACATCTCTACATTAGATTTCGTGATGCAGATCTTTAGCTTTGGACATTTTATGAATTATCTGAGACTTTTAATATTTTCAGCTGGTTGCCGGATCATGTAACTTTATTGGCCCGTTTTGCCGGTGAACCGACGCCTGTAAAATCCACTGTGACTAAAGCAGTGGCTGAGTTCCGGCGAACCCATGCAGATACATGGAATATCCAAAAAGACTCTTTCACTGAAGAACAGCTTGAGGTAATGCATTCGGGCTTTACATTAGTTTCCTTGATTTATCTATCAATGCATATATATTTAGGAAATTTCTACATAACTTCATACTCTATCGAACAAATTTGGCAAATGTGAGATTGAGGAACGTACGAGTAAAAACTAGCTTTATATTCTACATCTTGGTGATGAAATAATGTGACATTGTTTTCCCAACATTTGCAGATCTTGGCCGATACATCTTCCTCGTCCTCGTACTTTGCTTGATTTAGTTTCGTCAACGACAATAATACACTACTCTTTAATGAACCAACCACATCTTTGTACTCTTCACTTGTTATGTACTTATTTTTCATTTTATGTCCAATAGATGTAATCACATAAAAGGCTAAAAACCTTGGTTTCGGTTTATATACTTCACAACGGAAATTAGAGATATGTGTTACACTTACAACTTGAAAAAGACATGATGGCGTCGTTACTTGGGTTGGGCTTTTATTTTTTCTTACCTTGAGCTACGTTTATTTGCCGTGTCCTTTCCTATATGAAAAAGTAACAAGTTGATATCAAATTAGAATTGACAGATTTTACACCAGATCATGAATTATCATAGATTGAACCTGCCTCCGAAACTCAATTTACTGTATATGGGATCAAAAGAACAGAAAATCAGTTTCACCCTTTTACCTATATACATACGTATATATATCCAATCAAATTTTCACTGTTGTTCATAAAAGTCAAAACGGAGAATCAAATTTCCAGCAATGACCATCATTAACTGTATCACACAAGAACGAATCTTCAATCTTTTCATAAACATCATTGTAGTTTAACAAAACTTGTAACCTTTCTAAGTTGCTAAGAGTATTCATTTTTTTTCTGGGGAGGGAAAGCCAAAAGGTATAACCTTCACTTGTTCGAACAAAACTTTCAAAAACGTTAACAGATTAGAGTTTTTGTGGAAACCAAATTGGAATCAGGTTTTAAATCTTTAACATCTCTCCCCCAACACTTCGTGTTCCTGAGATCATCAGCTTTTGATTAAGACCCGACTTGCTTCACACCAGACTCGTCCACGGGATTTATATACCATCTAACACAAAAAACAAAAACAAAAACAAAAACAAAAAATTCATCAGACTGTTCTTCTTGAATGCAATGAAGAGAGTAAATTCTAGCAGTTCCCTGTCACGTCCTTATCATGGATCAAGGACAAGTCATAACCAGAGGCTCAGCTCCTGGTATTCAAATGAACGAACTAACCTTGATGAGGATCTTCGTGTACAAAGAAACTGGCAGCTACTATCAAATAACAAAGAATGAGCATCAATCCTTTGAAGTAATTCGATGTCCCTTCCTGTGTACATAGAGAGATCATCAGTTATGGATTTTGGATTTTCACGTCACTCCAAAAGTTGGCTTATTTTAGCCTTTAGGACTTTACCCACCTGGAGAAAAAAAGCTACAACTATAACGGTTATGAACAGCATCGCTGTCTCAAAAAGCTGGAAGTTGAGGTCCATCTGTTCACCCATCATCCATCCAATTACCACGCAGAACGGGACCTAACCATATCAAGCAGCAACAGATATTATTGAACAAATCTTGTTGGCCAAAAGATGATATACTGCTCTTGCATTGTATTCATGTTACATACCGCAAACATGGAAATCTGGATAGAGGAACCAATAGCCACTCCCAAGGACAGATCCTGTAGAAGTGGAAAAAAAGTAAACCATGTCTCAAGGCAAGCTGAGGATGAAGAGCCTATATATGTTACAACAACAAGAACTAATCTGCCTACCAGTTTGTCTTTCATGGCAAACATGATAGCGCCTGCATGCTCGGCTGCATTCCCAACAATAGGAAGCAAGATGACACTGATAAAAGCTATTGGTATGTTCCAAGAGACCGAGGCACCCTGAGAAAACAATTACATAAGCGAAATATTTATATTACGAAGTTGTGTTGATTGTCAAGAAAAATACTGCAATGAATAAACTCTAGCAGTGGAAGGATCATTTGGCCAAGTTAACTACATAATAATTAGCAACGCAATAAGATATTCCATATGGTAAAAATGCAGAAAAAGAACGTTTATTACCTCTATGGCATCAACAAGATAGCCAGAGAGAAGAGAGACCCAAGCAGTCAAAATTGAGAGCCATATGATAGCTTCCCACTTGGATATCTCAGGATCTTCGTCTTCGGCAGAAGTTTCTTCGTTTTGATTTGTTTCCTAGAGTTTACAGCATTTACCAAACAAGATTAAGTCCAGATCGAGCAGAACTACACAAAACAGTTGGTTTTATGTCTGTTTGTATATTGACATATACAGCCGTAAAACAGGAAAATCAGCCCTTTTCATATGGCTTTTATGGATTAAGAACTGAAAAAGAAAACCATTGGTTGAACAATGGAGGCAACGACTGCGCACACAACAAACCTCTTCAAGAGGGCTATAAGAATTAGACTGGCTCTTTAACTGGAAGAAGAGGTAAGCGGCATAGGCTATAAGCATTATGCAACTGCTGAACCTTGACAGGGCCAGCTCTGATGATCCCGCATGAACCTCACTATGCGTGTAGTGAAGAACAGCCGGGAAGAGTATCCCCATGACAGCCATCAGAAGCAATCCTGAATTCACAACTGCAATTCCCTGAATACAGAAGAGCAGCGGTCAGAAACCCCGGTAAAAAAAATAGCAATAAGAAAAAGATGGCTGAAAGAATATAAATGAAGCGGATAGAGATTACTACTTTGTCAAAGACTTGGTCTTTCTGGTAAAATACTAGCCCACCGCAGAAGAAAGCGCAGCCAAGTACAAGCAACATGTTAGACAGAATTGATCCTAATAAAGTCAGCTGGACAACACGTATCATTCCATTTTTCAAAGCGAATATCGATATGATCAGTTCTGTCACATTCCCGAATGTAGCATTTAGGAGGCCTCCAACTGTGAAATTTGTTTAGCATGTTAAAAGAAATATCATGAAAAACAAAATGAAGAAATTGCTTGTTTCAGAAGAACCAAGTCATACCAGTCGGGCCCGTGTAAAAAGCCAGTTGCCTGATTCAAACAAGCCAACAGTTACACATAAGTCTTGTAAACAAAATGATGGTACGGTAAGTTTGTGCTACAATTGCTAGCGAGGCTTACTCTGTGGCATATCCCAGACGTTCAGCCAGTGGTGTAATGCCTACTAAGCTCAGCAAGAAGACCCAACCCTGCGCCATGGTAAGAAATTAAGAATCATTTCTTGAGATTCAACTCTTAGACATGAATTGAAACTACTATCAGTACCATAAACTCCAATAATTTACCTTACTATCTATCATGTAGTGGACCAATATAGCTAGAGGACCAAAAGGTAACAATAGATTGAGTTTATTAGATAAAATCACGATCTTGATGCTCTTTAGCACGCTGTTCTTTGGTGATTTAGCTGTGTGTTCACGGAAATTTGGAGAAAGTGATCCCTGCTCCATCAATGAAGCTGCTTTAGTTTGTGTGGCATCTTCTTCTCGTTTAAATAGGCTTTTGTGCTCAAGTTCATTAACCGACCCCATCTGTTACATTATAAAAAAAAAAAAAATTCAGTAAGCCCACAACAAGCCGAGGAACTCAGATAAGAGATAAGATCTGTACAAAAGCTCTAGCAAACCAGAAATCAAAGAATATGTTGCCGTGAACTTACTTCAACTTGTGCTTCAATAAGAGCCGGAACTGTGCAGTGACTCATACCCTCGTGCTACCAAAACATGGACCAAGGATAAACTACAGCGTCGGGTTCTGCTGCAACCTGGATTCGGGGACACTTCTTGTATGAGATCTACGTTGTAACCACAGTTACACTTAAACTGCAAGTTTGAGTCTTTTTCAGGAAAAGGCAGAGCCTTGAGGATAACGATTTCACCACAGATTAATCTAAAAAGCTTAACATTCCAGGGAAATAGACATTTGTTACTTCACATTAGGGAAGCATTCATAACTGGAAGAAACAGGAATTCAAATCAAAGGAGTTGTTTGATTCAACTACAAAACGCTACTTTCTAAATAAGCTTAAACGCTACTTTCACACTAGTGGAAAACAGCTACAAGTGGCACTATATATGTTATAAACTTTGGTCCTTTGGGAAAAGGAGAGCAAGCAAATCCAGATCAAAACTATCTGAATAACGTAAATAAAACCACAAAGGAATCAGTGGGTCTATTGAGTCAAAACTTATTCATCCGATAAACCCCTATCTACAGACCTTATAGCAGAAACTCCAAGAATCCGGAAAAAACCGAGTGATCTCATAAAAATCGAGACTTGGTTAAAGAAAAAAAAAGGGTTAAAAGAGACACCGCAACTTTACCTCGCAGTCAACGAGAAGAAGAATCGAACAAGCTGCAGAAACCAAAAACCAAAGCATAAACCGAGTAAGAAACAACAACGACTTTGAGGTTTCTATATCTTCTTCTTCTGATGATCTGCTGAAGACAGAGAAGAAGTCTTAAGTGTGATTTCAATTGATAGAATAGTTAAGCGGACGAGATTCGTGATCTGGATGTCGATGTGAAATAGAATCCCTAGATCTCAGATGTTAATAGAGCGCGAGCGAGGAAGTTTCGTTCTCGGTTGAAATCTTTCATCAGTTGAAGAAAACCAAGTTTTTTTTTTTTATTAGTATTCTTTTCTTTTTTTTTTTAAGAGAAAACGTAGAAGAAGACACAAATAACGGCGCCGTTTAAACCTTTTACGACAGTTCCCATTTCTCCTCAAGAAATCTAGGGGAATCTCTTTGTCCTAAAATAACCCGCGAATCTTATTTGTCAAATAAGTTGTAATTAATACTCATAGCCTTTTTATCATTTCATTTGGTATTTTATTTGGATTTAGATTCCCCTTTAGATTATATAACAAATTACTGAATACTGGTGCAATTTAAATTTATAGTACAAAATAAAAATAATAGAACCTAGTCAGAAACACATAGTTTTTATTTTCTTTATTAACACATGGATTTATTTACGTTAAAGTATATTAAAAGGAGAAAAATGGAATTATACTGTAAATATCTTTATAATATAAATTCAAGCTCGTTGGTATACTTGGTAATAAATCGAATACGAAAAGGTTGCATGTATCCACTATCCACTCTCCACTATCTATTAATTCGACCAATAATGATTGTCCATAAGTTGATAATTCTTCCGTTTGAATGGAGTTTCAACTTTCAACCACTCGCTTCTATAGTTAGACACCATAAACGTTCTTTTTTATGAAATGATTTTTTGTTGCTAAGAATATCCGGGGAAGATTTGACTATTTTGAGATATTAGTTTTCATTCTTGCTCTTTATCTCTGAACACGAACCTGATGTTAGTTGATATGTGTATAAAACGGGTGAATTCTCGAAGATCCGACCTCAATTCTCTGTAACTTGTAACACCATCGGGCCATCAGTATATTTGACCCAGGTCAGCCCACTGGATTGGTGACTCTGCTCCAAATATGGACTTTATATAGCTGGGCTCGCTACAATTTAGCCCAATCCCCAGACTAGTAGAATATTATCCCAGTATATTATGGTTCTACATAATCGTATAATTTAGATACTTCCATCATTTTTAAGAAGTTGAGAAGTAGTTTTCAGTTACTCACATGTCCAGGTAGCTTCGTACCGAGTTGTCGGTTTATTATTATACGCAGTATTATTGGTTTGTTCAGCTACGTTGTTGTTTAATTATTTTTCCACTAACATTTTATTATAATCAAGAAAACATTTAAACGGCGTAAAACACTAACTTATCTTGTTTTGGCTCAAATGCTACCCCGAATGTAATGATCAACTAGTGAAAATAAAGAGAGTTGCTATAGAGCCAAGGAAAAAATATCCACATACTAAAAGACAATAAACTATGTATCTGACGAAAACAAAACACAAAAAAAAATTGTTCTAATTGTTTTTTGGCGCTAGTTACTTGTGGACCTGTGTCTGTGGTTATTTTTGTGGTGTTTCAGGTGCCAGTGGTGCTTTCTTACTCAAAAGATTTTACAATGTTTCTTTTGTCAGTGCAAAATTGATGCTTTAGAAATTAGATCGCAAAAAAAAGGCCCCTAAATATTAGTAGACTGTAGTAATGGATACATAATTTGTTAAAAAGAAAAAGAAACATGATTTGTGGTAATTTGCATATTTAAAAAAGGAAATAAGTAAAGAAGAGTCAGTGTCTGTGGAACTTGGAGTACACACAAAACATGACTCCCCCACCAAGTCCCCGAAACCAAGTAGTTGTCCCCACCTTAACTACACAATTAATTAAAGCACCATATAATAAACGTTATACTATTTTTGTAAAAAGTATAAACGTTAACTATTGCTAGTCATATATCATAAAATAACTAACAAGTTGAATTCCACTCATTCGTTACTATTAAAATATGTAATCCAAGCTTGCTCATTACTATCAACCACAGTCTAGAAACTTATGCTTATTTGCGAGTCATTCATGATAAAAAAGAACTTAACAACTTGAATTCCATTCATTCAACATTAATAAATGTTATTAATAAAATCGTTAATCTGTGCGACTATGCCGATTAGTGTACTATCAACCATAATTTACTGGCCATAGTTACCCTCCATTTTTCACAAAAATTATATGGTTAAATAATTGGTTTTTCATCATCATTCCCCAGACACATTAAAATTACTTACAAAAAAAAGAAAAACAGAGATAAAAGTTATAATTCGACCCCCAAAAAAATTATAATTTCTTTCTAAAATACGCGTTGACAATGTAAGAAAAGACATATTTTTTGTAAAACAAAACCAAAATTCATTGAACAAAATTAATTTTAAAGGAAACACACGTTCTTTAGTTAAATTATTGTTTAGAAGATAATTAAAGTGAATAACAAAACGAATAGCTCGTTCTGTTTTATTTAGCTTTATAAGGATGGACCTATTAATAAAATTAATGTCTGCAACTCACTAAATATTTATTTGTCGCATCTAATCAACTGGTTAATGAAAGTTGGACTAAGTCCATATTGTTCAGAACACATGACAAGGAGTGTGTGTTAACGCACAAAACCGTATTGTAGACTTTTGTTGGGTTCGCTGTCTTCTAGAAGTTTTATCCATCTCCGTAGCCTAACCGACACGTTCTTTGGAGACACTTTTGTCTTTTTTTCTGTTCACTAATTCGACCATATCTATATATTTCTAATTATTCGCCAGACAAGGACAAAAAGCTTCTAGAATGGCGTTGATATTTATTTGTCGATGCGTTTGCTTTTTTCTTGGTTTTATTAATTATAAAGATACCTTTTTTTTGCTCTCTTAATTATCAGCCGTTGATCTGCTGGGCACGATTACTTCTAGAAGCACTTTAAAAACAAATCGAATAATTTTTAAACTTTTGAAACTTGAAAGTACTATATAATCAATGGAGATGACATTTTTAAACAGCATTATTGGCACATTTCGACTAATGGTTAGAGTTGACTGTTCAAAATCTACTTTCTATCATTTTTCTATCACTGGTTTAAATTCATATAAGCATGTAGTATAATTTAAAGTACTGCTTGTATATTATACTCAATGGAGATTACATTTTTAAATATCTGAAAGTGTTATATAAACATTATTGGCACATTTCAATTAATGGTTAGAGTTGACTGTTCAAAAAATTACTTCCTATCATTTAATATAATCACAAACTTTTGAATCCATATAAATATGTATAATTTTTTTTAATTATTTTGTAAGTATGATGATACAAATACAAATAATATATAATATACAGCTGTATGACATGTCATCATTTCAATCTCAGAGAGCCGATCAAATAACTTGAGCCGAGCCGAGCCTAGAAAAGGATTCTAGAAGGCCAATCTTTGAACTTGGATGACACGTCATTGTTCCATAGAATTTTCAGAAAACTGGTGACTGCCACTCCCACGGGTTTTTACCTTTCTTTTTTCCTTGATTTTCGCTCCTTACTTTTCTTTATTTTGCATTTGATTAAACTCTATTTTTTTCTTTATTTTAACCCATTCTATTAAATTTTTGCATCTATTCTATCGATTTAATGTCGGTAGACATATGATATCTTCGGATCAGATTTCTTAAGAAAAAACATCTTAAATGAAATTAATATAATTGTAACGAAACACTAGCACACGTATTAAACACGGATTTTTTGTTAACTTTTTTTTACAAGTATATTTTATTAATCAATTAGAAAACTAAATTAGCTATTAGCTATATTCTCTTTTTTCACATTTCTCTACTTTCAGTAAACAGCTAAATTTAGCATAGTCACATACCCGGATTCTAATTTCTAAAACACAGAAAAAAAAACAAGCAAGATACCTTTTGAATAAATAAAAATATAAAAAGAATAATATTTTAACAAATAAAATATTAAGAAATAATGACGACTATTTACCAGATGACAAAAACTTTTCGGCTATGGGCTTCTTTAAATATGGTCATTTCTCGATCCCTCTCTCCTTGTGATTCATATCCACTTCTCTGCTTCCGAATTTGTGCCCTCCAATTTTACTATAATTGCGTAAATGTCAGGAATCCTAGTTTATTCCGCCGGTAACTCCCTTCGATTCTCACCGGGAAATAGCCTTACTCAGCCGAAGACAGCCAGATCCCGTAACGGAAAGGCTCGATTTCCCACCGGAGCTACGTCGTTTAGGGCTTCGGCGCAGACGCTCAACGCCGAGCCGGCTGTAATGGAATCCGTTCGTCGGCGAGTGTCGAGTCTCTACGAACTGCTAAAAGTCAATGAAACGGCGTCGTTGACGGAGATTAAGACGGCTTACCGGAGCTTAGCGAAGGTGTACCATCCGGATGCGTCGGAATCTGACGGACGAGATTTCATGGAGATCCATAAAGCTTACGCGACACTGGCGGATCCGACGACCAGAGCGATCTACGATTCGACGCTGGGAGCACGACGGAGACGGGTGCACGCTGGGGCTATGGGTCGGGCGGGTCGAGTTTACACGACGACCCGGAGATGGGAGACGGATCAGTGTTGGTAATCTACGCTTCCGATGATTTTGCGGCACCGAAAAAATGGCACTTTTTGACTTCATTTTCCCCTTTCGTTATATTTTTTTTCGTTTTCCCAGTCGTATCTTGGAAAATTTAGGGGAATTTAAGTTTTTTATCAGCCATTTTTTTTTTTTTTGCTTTTGTTTTAACTTAAGAAGTTAACAATGTATAACACAAGTTATGAATCCATAGATAGATGTATATTATCTGTATTTTCTGCTTTCTAAATTTTTGTTCGAATATCGGATTATGCATATAATTTTCAGGGATATAAAGAATTTTGCTGTCGATTAACAAGAACACGTAACAAAACATTTTATTTTTATCTTGAAAAGTAAAAGATGTTTACTCCTACAGTTTCTGAGATGTTGCTACTATTTGTTAAAGCTAGTGATTTGTTTCTTTTTAATTTATAAACAACTTTGGTTCACCATAGCTAAAAGAGAATACTTTCAATGATGATGATAAAACACTGTTTATTAGATATTTTTTTTATAAAATTGTTAATACTAATACGTTCTGTAGACTGTGGTTGACAAAGACAACGAGAAGAAATAGTGACAATCAAACTGTGAAAAATAAAAGACATACAGTTTTTACAGCTTACATCCGAACATTGGTTTGGTTATTGTTTTGACATATGATCTTCCCTAGGAGAAGAAAGAACAATAAACTTGTGTGAAACGACCAGATTTTTAACATTAATAAGGTATTACAGTTTAAAACCAAACATTTTTTTAAAATAGAGCTGAAACCAAAAAATTGGTTTGGTTTTTTACATAAGATCTTCTTGAGAAGAAGAAAGAACAATAGACGTAAAACAACCAGATTTTACATTTAAAAGAAAAAGAAAAAAGAAAAATGGAAATACAAAATTCAAACCAAAAATGAAACGATAATCAAAATCTAACGAAGTAGTGGTACAGAGAAGAGTAGGGATTGTTGTGTTCCTATGTTTTATATGAGCAACGAACAAGAAGAGAGAGAGAGAGATAGCGAAGGTTATCATTTGCAGCTCATAAGCATGGAGTTGATGACGTGCATTATAAGTCTGATCGCAGAGACGTCACTGCCCGGTGAGGTACGGTGGTGGTGCAGAATCTGATAGACTTGTTCAAAGATTGGTCGAGCGTGGACCGCAATCATCTGGTCTGATGGGTTTATGGCTGTGACCACATCAGTCATCCAAGCAAGCTTATGGGGTGTGTCCTTGCTGATGTCGCAGGCTAGCTGTTGTAGCAGTGACAGAAGCACGCCTTGGCTCAGCGGAAGCGGACTCATCGCCAGTAGTCTATGAAGATCCACCTGAATTAGCACAAAAAACCAATGTCATGTGGATCTTATTTTATGTAACAACTAATGGTTATGAGATTTTAACATGTGTAATCTAAAACCAAATTTCACCTGTGAGCAGAGCCATGAAACTATAGAGACATCGCTTCTCTGTAGAGCTGAGGTAAAAGATTCTTCATACTTGCGATCAGATATCAACCTGGATAGTTCAGCTCTTGGGTCCATAGGTGCTTCAACCTACAAAAGTCGATGTTATGTTTGTCAAAACTCAGAATATGACATCAACTACTTGGATATTTGATAAGAACCAGAAAATAATTCCCTCTTTATTCACTCTCTGACTCAACACAGAAGACGAACAGAGAAAAACTGAAGCAAATATTCAAAGAGGTTGAGCACCCTAAACTCTCCTAAAACCAACAAGACAAGAACCTAGACCAATCCAGGATGCTCAGCCCTTCTGGCTAACCGACTCAACTACGATTGCTGAGCACTACAATCCACAACAAGCCACCTAGGGTAATTACAATGCTCATGCACTAGACTAACACAAGGCTTATCAGATTCATGGATAAGCTAGTTCCAGAGATATGTGCAAACCTTTTCAAGAAGAGCGCCCAAAGGTCCGCCACTTCGTTGAGTAATCAAGGGATTTGACCCACCAGAATTTCCTCCAGCGGCTGCAAACGCTAAGAGGTTCCTTTGGCTTTCGGCTAATTCACGACTTAAGGCTTGAGCCACTGACGATGTAGAATCAATGGTTTCCTGTCAAACTCAAACGAGTAGCAACTTTAGAAAAAGTGAAAGAAATGGAATTTGCAGCCATAAACAGTCCTGGAAGAAGGATGGTTTTCCATTGTACCCTTAGAGTATGAACAAGCTGGGAGTGTCCAGATTCAAACTGTTGCTGGGCTGCGCTTGTGTGCTCGGCAATACCTTTCTGGAAGGCTGAATCCATTTGATCAAACATGGTCTTGCATGACCTCTCAAACGAAGGTATGACTGAGGACTCCAGACTCGACCTAAGAGCCTCCTGAAGTATATAAATTGCATAAGTATTTACGACATTAGCTTCCTTTTTCGCTGAGCAGCTGAAATTATGTGCACAAGAATTGTATAAACGTTTGCAAAGCATCATAAGACTAGTTGACATTCGAATTCATACCTGGAGGGCTTGCCTGCCAGAGGTCTGAAATTGGACTTGAATTTGCCTATTTATAGTTGTTTCAAGTTTTGAATTAACCGATTTTTCAAGCTGATTGACTGCTTTGTCACCAATTCCTCTCTGCACAAAAGAGAGAGCAATTCTTAATCAACAATGGATCTTCTCATGAATCAGCATTAAATTTCCAGTAAATTACTAACCTGGAAGGACTCTGTGATTGCAGAGGATACAGTTTTTTCAATAATTGGTGTTACTGCACGTGCTATGGCTGGACCAATTGCAGCAAATTCTTTTTTAATCGTTTTCTCAAACATGGCACTTAGATCCTTGCTCATGAAGTTCGTCGTTGCATTCACGATTTGTTGGGCATGGTCTTGCAATGCCTTTTCATTCTTGGCAGTCTCCTCTTCGAAACGGGCCCATAGAGCTTCAGCATTCGACTTGCTGAATCTCTCAATCATTCTCCCTAAAGCCACTTCTATCCTTTTACCTTCTTTATTGATAGGGCCATTGACAGCGTTTGATAGTTGGCGCTGCATCTCCTTCTGCGAAACCATTATCTGGAAGGAAATAATGTTTCAAGTAAACAACTATTTTTTTTATTTTTTACCAAAGAACATCTTAAGAAGAAAGTAATAATCTACCATGACAAATGCAAGAAATGTATAAATTTAACATGTTCATGTTCAATTGAAAACGAATGCGACAAAGGAAACTGTTATATGCCAAATCAAGGTAACGACAAGTTCAATAGCCTATGTGATCAGAAGATACAAAAGTATAAAACCAAAGAATGTTAAGCAATAGGGTACCCCTTAGTTTCAAGATCAAAATGTCACCTGATTCATTGTTTCTTGCATGGCTAAGATTTGAGGAATTGAATCTATATTGGGTTGACTTGAGCTCCGACTTTGCTCATTGTAAGTGTCAGCCAGATTAGCAACATTTGAGGATGACGATGACAGTCCAGGACCCTGTGAGCTTTTAGCCTTCTGTTTCTTCCCTTTGCTATTTTGTGGAAGCCCACTAGATGAAACCGACTCAAGAAGCTTTGCAGACACACCTCTTGAGTCAAGACCACTTTCATCCCCAGCTTGTAAAGATTGTCCATAAGCCCTAGTTTCCTCAGGGATGACTGTTTCATCTGTACTAGGATGATAACAGTCCCTAGCCATCTCAGAGCTGAGATTCGAAGCTTGTGAGCAGAAGTTTTTTTCTCTATTTTCTGAAGTGCGATGCTCAGCTTCGTCATGATAGTTGATTTCACCATTCTGCGTCGATCTTGCTTCACCTACTTCTTTAACCTCAACTTCTGTGCCTTTTGCATCAATATTCACGTCCTGAATATTTGCATCTCTATCCCTCCTGTCTTCAGCAGACGGAACACTCATACTAAACTCTGACGGAGTTACAAGGTGAGTGGGGTGTTTGAAAAATGCTGTTGGGCTTTGCATACCAGAGGCAGACACATCACCATCAGGTGTAGCATTCTTGTTCTTACTTCCCTCTGCAGATGATACATCCAAAGTTCTTTCTCCAGCAGCATCCATTTGCCTATCAACAGAATAATCAGCAGATGGTGCTTTGCCACCAAGCTCAGGATGAGGTAGTATTGGCTCAATAGAATCTACAGGTGTCTGATAGCCAGAAAGTTTTCTTGATAGTCTGGGACTTAGAGGAAGTTGAGGTGAAGTAACATATGCAGAACTTGCACCACTGGTCTCAGATAGCAGCCCAGACGTTTTAGGTTCACTGTTGGGTAGAGCAATTGCTTGTGATGTGGTCTCTGGTGATGCAGAAGCTGCTGGAAAACGCAACGTATTAGCACTTTCCGATCTATTCACCAGAATAGATGGTTTAGGCACTGAATCAACAGAAGGTAATTCCGTAGGCTTACATCCAGATGGTTCTGACGTACCTTCACCAAGATTTACCTCCCCTGACACACAAGAATCTGATTTCTCCAAACCAACGTTCTCTATAGGAGGTGGCCAGCACAAGCACAAGTCTAATGTATACTGTTGGATTGCTAGAGTCTGAACACAATAGACCTTAACAATGGGTTCTTCTGGAGGGTCATTTGTCCCTATAAAACTCAATATAGGCATAGTGACTGTAAACTCGGACAAGTAATCCATCCGTGTATCAACTGGACAAGAGCCATAGTCCAAATGCACGGCATATATGGCGTTCCTTTTCGCATTTGCAAGTAAAAGCAGGCCTGCTTCAGACAATGCTATGACTTGGTTAAAAAATGCCTCTTCAGCTCGTGGCTCCGTTGAACTTTTCAAGTCTAGTGTTTGGGTACACTTCCAAGACTCAGCATCTGCTGGTAGGAGCCACCCTTCTTCACCAGCTGAGACCCAAATTTTCATTTCTCGGTTTAGAGGACCCTACGAGGAGAACATTGCCAACGTTGACAGAATTAGCAACTTAGCAGAAAGGATCGTACAATATAAAATGTAATATCAACACAGCAGGGCCATTTATCATTAGATAGGGCTACGAAAAATGGTAATATTGATTCAAGAAAAGTACCCCCGTGATAAGTATGATGTGATCAGGTCTCTCAGGGGATGTAACAAATGTGGCAGAATTGACCGGGTTGCCATCATGAGGTCTCAAAACTGCAACTGGTTGTGTCTTAAGATCTTGCCATATCTTAACCTGTTGGTATTATGAGTAAAGGAGTAAGACTCACGCACATAAAAATACTAGCTATTGCAAAATGTGACCTGGTTGAGAAGATACTTTACACAGCGCAAGTGTAAGATGAAAATTAGCAAATCTTTTCAATTAAGAATGAGCTAGCAGAACCAAACTAAGTTAGGCAGATGAGTTTCAATCAATCAATCTTCAACATTCGACTCAGTAAGCATCGAAATTAGTTTCTATTTGAGTGCTTCAGATTGATACAATTTCAGAAAGGCTTTAAACGAAAATTGGAAAATTCGAGTGAAGAAAATGATAAGAACAAACACAAACCGTGCCATCAACTGAAGAAGAAACCAGGCGCGTGGTCATCCATTGGCACATTGATAAATCGGTAACTTCTCCATCATGTTTCCCCACAATCTGGACACCATCAATCAGTTTATCAAGGGGACACTGGAGAGGTGCCTCAGCAGAGAACACTTCACCTCTGCCAACTTTGGTTGTATCAATTCGCAGCACATGTTTACCAATTGAAACCACCAAAATTTCCTGAAATTTAATTTTACGCAATCAGTGTGTATAGACACAGCAAAGAGTGATTGAAAACGAAGTATGGAAATAGCAGAGAGTAAATTGAAAACGAATCAACTTCCCTAGGCAAAAGAAATATGTTAAATACCTGTTTGTGGAAGTGCCAACAAACACGTGGATGTTTGTTGTCTTCCTCTCCTAGTATCTCCAGAGCAAGAACTATCTTTCCAGTAATCTGGGGCTGATCATCTCCCTCAGACCCTTCCGAAATTTGCCACACAAATACTTTTCCATCTAGACTAACGCTATTTCGATGAAGAAATCGAAAAATGGATGGTCAGAAGAAAAATGCAAACCACAAAGTAGAGGAAGCTAACAAATAAAAAAACACTTGGACAAAACTCAAATAAACATAGTAGAGTTGAATGCGCCCCTATACAGCTATACCATATAGAATATGGGATAATCTATTTACACAAGAGTTCGAGATGAACATTACCTGGCCAACAGATGAACATCCTCGGCAAAGAAAGCCATGTCTGTCACTCTCTGGACACAAACACGTAATTAGAACTAGTGGGGCAGAAACGAAACTTATCATGCTGATGGCGAAAAACCATATGGGTACGTCAATAGATAATTTGCAATAAGTTGATTGCAGAGTATAAAAAGATAAAATTGCAGAGTATACGTAAATGAACAAGTTGAAAAACAACCTGAGAATGGCCTCGGAACAAAGCCCTCAATGCGGTGTTTATATTGAGAACCCGAATATTTCCTCCTTTCAATCCGTAGCATATGTAGACCTTATTCACGGCGATTTGCCGACCCACAACGAGCTGAGGATCCGACCCGTATTTGGTAATCGGAGTCACCTCCAGCTGAGGCTGAATCTCTCCATGAAATCTGACGTCCACATCGTACACCGCGTTTTCACCAACCAATCGCCTTCCCTTGGGGAGCTTACAGCTTGGCACACGAATAGGAACCGAACCGCCAGGGAACGACCGAGCGATCTCGGGCGGATTCACTCCCGGGAGCTGATGCGACGGCTCTTGGCTGGCCATGGCGCCTTCCCTGCCGCCTCCGCCGTTGTTATTGTTGAGGAGAGCGAGGATTTGCGATCCAGGATTGTGATTGGAACGAGGCGATTGGAGATTTAGAGGTGGCGTGGGATAAGATAGTGTTCTCTGTGGGTGCAAGTTAGTCGCGGAGGAAGGAGAAGGCACGTCCTGTTGCTGATGTTGAGTCACCGGCGAAGGTTGAGCGGCGATACCCGGTGGAGCGTAGAGCTGCTGATTGTACTGGTTGTGAATAAAAGGACCTGTGTGCGGAGGATAAGATGCCGGCGGCGGAGGATAAAGGTTCGATGAGGGTTTGAACATATTAACGAGATCGAACGGAGGAGGATTGTGAGGGTTAGTATTACCAGGTGAAGACGCCATGGATAATTGCAGATTTAAGATCGCTGAAGCTAGGGTTTGCGAAATCGATCAATAAAGAGGTGCAAATGAACACAGAGCTCCTTGAAAAGATTCCACAAAAAGAAGACTCGGCGGATCTGATAGTCACAGAGAGAGAGAGAAGCGAAGAGCGACAATAGAGACGATGATGACTTGAAAGTGAGAACAGGAAGAGAACTTTTGGAGACTTACTTCATTATTCCTTTATTTAATGAAAAACTAAATGGGGCATGATCCAGATCTCGAAAAGTTAGGGGTGATAATCGTGTTCGTTATAAGAATATGAGGATGGCTTCTGTATAAATTCAATTTTGTGTTTGGGGCTTACTTTCCGATATTGGGCCTTATATATTCAGTCCACGAAATCCCCCGAATCGTTCCTTTGGTGTACTCACTTGTTTTAACTGCACCTGTGCATTTTTCCTTGTCACCATACCTTTGTTGAAGGAGAAGAAGATCCAAGAATAGTCAGCTCCATATCTCAAATGCTAACGCAACATAATCAAGGAACAGTACCAAACAAAACAATTCGGATTTTGCTACGTAAATCCTCAATTTCTCTGTTTAATGTGAAACTGGACCATATTCACCTACCCAATGAATCCTTAATTTTTTTGTGTATAATAATAAATAAGTTGATCGAATATAGAGAATTTCTTTCAACTAAAAATTAGAAAGAAGTTATATATCGTAGTAAAATTGAATTTTTTTCCTATTTATCTGACTTCTTCTTTGTTACAGAAAAATCTTATCTATTTGAAATTCAACAAAATCGTTTAAGTGGATGCAATGCAACGAAATATACTACAATTTTGATATATTACAAGAGGTTAAACATGAATATTAAAATTGTAAAAGTGTCGCTTGACCCGTATCATTAGGCATGGATCCACCTCTAAAAGTCCACTAGAATCTTCTCAACAATATAGACGTAGAAACAGCGAGATTTTACATTTACAAAACAAAAAAAAAAATTGAAAGGCAAAAGAAAAACAACAAAAAAATCTTAAAAAGTAGATACAGAAATTGTTTTCTTTTTTTTGTTTTCTCCTATGTTGTGTGAACAAGAGAGAGATAGTGAGTGTTGTGTCATTTGCAGCTCATCAGCATGGAGTTGATGACGTGCACTATAAGTCTGATCGCAGAGGCGTCACTGCCTGAAGCGTTACGGTGGTGGTGCAGAATCTGATAGACTTGTTCAAAGATTGGTCGAGCGTGGACCGCAATCACCTGGTCTGATGGGTTTATGGCCGCAACCACATCAGTCATCCAACCAAGCTTAAGAGACGTATCCTTGTTGATGTCGCAAGCTAGCTGTTGTAGCAGTGACAGAAGCACGCCTTGGCTCAACGGAAGCGGACTCATAGCCAGTAGTTTATGAAGATCCACCTGAATTAGCACAAAAACCAATGTCCTGAGATCTTTCTGTAAAAACTAATGGTTATCAGATTTTAATATGTGTAATCTAAACCAAATTTCACCTGTGAGCAGAGCCATGAAACTATAGAGACATCGCTTCTCTGTAGAGCTGAGGTAAACGATTCTTCATACTTGCGTTCAGATATCAGGCTGGATAGTTCAGCTCTTGGGTCCATAAGTGCTTCAACCTGAAACAACAGGCATTACGAATAGACCACATCGGTTTGGGATTCATGGTAATTTATTCCGGATATGTGCAAACCTTTTCAAGAAGACCACCCAAAGATCCGCTACTTCGTTGAGTAATCAAGGGGTTTGACCCACCAGAATTTTCTCCAGCAGCTGCAAGAGCTAAGAGGTTCCTTTGACTCTCGGCTAATTCACGACTTAAGGCTTGGGCAACTGACGACGTAGAATTAATGGTTTCCTGTCAAACTCAAACGAGTAGCAACTTTAGAAAGAGTTAAAAAACGACTGGAATTTGCAACCGTAGCAGTTCTGGAACAAGGATCATTTTCTATCATACCCTTAAAGTATGAGCAAGCTGGGAGTGTCCAGAGTCAAACTGTTGCTGGGCTGCGCTTGTGTGCTCAGCAATACCTTTCTGAAAGGCGGAGTCCATTTGATCAAACATGGTCTTGCATGACCTCTCAAACGAAGGTATGACTGAGGACTCCAGACTCGACCTAAGAGCATCCTGAAGTATATAAATTGCAAAAGTATTTACGACATTAGCTTCCTTTTTCGCTGAGCAGCTGAAATTATGTGCACAAGAATCGTATATACGTTTACAATGCATCATAAAACTAGTAAACAAATCGAATTTTTTACCTGGAGGGCTTGCCTGCCAGAGGTCTGAAATTGGACTTGAATTTGCCTGTTTATCGTTGTTTCAAGTTTTGAATTAACCGATTTTTCAAGCTGATTAACTGCTTTGTCACCAATTCCTCTCTGCACAAAAGACAAAATAGTTTTATTTATCAATATGGATCTTCTCATGAATCAGCTATAAATTTCTAGTAAATTACTAACCTGGAAGGACTCTGTGATTGCAGAAGATACAGTTTTTTCAATAGCTGGTGTTACTGCACGTGCTATGGCTGGACCAATTGCAGCATATTCCTTCTTAATCGTTTTCTCAAACATGGCATTTAATTCCTTGCTCATGAAGTTTGTCACTGCATTCACGATTTCCTGGGCATGGTCATGCAATGCCTTTTCATTTTTAGCAGTCTCCTCTTGTAAACGAGCCGATAGAGCATCAACATTCGACTTGCTGAATCTCTCAATCATTCTACCTAGAGCCACTTCTATCCTTTTACCTTCTTTATTGATAGGGCCATTGACAGCATTTGATAGTTGTCGCTGCATCTCCTTCTGCGAAACCATTATCTGGAAGAAAATAATGTTTCAAGTCAGCAATTTTTTTTTGTTTGACCAAAGAACGTCTTATGAAGAAAGTACTAACCAATCACGACAAATGCCAGTTATGTATAACTTTAACAGCTTGTATTTAAAACGAATGCGACAAAAACACTGTTTTATGCCAAATTTACGTAGCAACAAGGTTAATAGCAAATCGGTGAAATGATGCAAGATACAAAAACTGATACTGTTAAGCAATAGGGTATGTTTCAAAATCAGCATGTCACCTGATTCAATGTTTCTTGCACAGCTAAGATTTGAGGATGTGAATCTGTCATGGGATGACTTAAGCTCCGGCTTTGCTCACTGTAGGAGTCAGCCAGATTGGCAACATTTGAGGATGTAGAAGACAAACCGGGACCCTGTGAACTTTTGGCCTTCTGTTTCTTCCCTTTGCTGTTTGGAGCTGCCGACTGTGGAAGCCCACTAGATGAAACCGACTCGGGAAGCTTTGCAGACACAACTCTTGAGTCAAGGCCACTTTCATCCCCAGCTTGTAAAGATAGTCCATAAGCCATAGAGTTCTCTGGAATGAAAGTTTCCTCTGCAATAGGATGATGGTCTCTTGCCATCTCAATGCTGAGATTCGAAACCTGTGAGCAAAACTTTTTATCTCTACTTTCTGAAGTGTGATTCCCAGTTTCTTCAAGATTGTAAATTTCACCATTCTGTGTCGACGCTTCACCCACTTCTTTCACCTCAACTTCAGTGCCTCTTGCATCGTTTTTAACATCCTGAATAATTGCATCTTTTTCTCTCTTCTCTTCAGTACTAATGGAGGCCTCAGTGGATGAAGCACCCATAAATAACTGTGCAGGAGTTACAAGATGAATGGGGTGTGTGAAAAAAGCTGTCGGGCTTCGAATCCCAGAAACATCATCATCAGCTGTAACATTCTTGTCCTTGCTTCTTGAGCTTTCTAAAACAGGAGACACATCCAAATTTCTTTCTCCAACAGCATCAATTTGCCTATCAACAGTATAATCAGCAGAAGGTGCTTTGCCACCGAGCTCATGACGAGGTAATACTTGATCAATAGCATCAACAGGAGTGTGATAGCCAGAAAGTTTACTTGATAGTCTCGGACTTAGAGGAAGCTGGGGTGCATGAGCGTACGCAGAACCTGCATCACTAGTCTCAGATGGCAGCCTAGAAGTTTTATGATCACGGTTGGATGAAACAATTGCTGGTGATGTGGCCTCTCCTAATGCAGATGCCGCTGGAAAACTCGACGTGTAAGCAGTTTCAGATCTATTCACTAGAATATTTGGTTTAGGCACTGAATCAACCGAAAGTAATTCTGTAGGCTTCAGTTCACATGATTCTGACTTCTCTAAACCCACATTCTCTATAGGAGGTGGCAAGCACAAGCATAGGTCCAATGTATATTGCTGGATTGCTAGAGTCTGAACACAATAAACCTTAACAATGGGTTCTTCTGGAGGGTCATTTGTCCCTATTAAACTCAATATAGGCATAGTGACTGTAAACTCGGATACGTAATCCATCCGTGTATCAGCTGGACAAGAACCATAGTCCAAATGCACAGCATATATGGCGTTCCTTTTCGCATTTGCAATTAAAAGGAGGCCTGCTTCAGACAATGCTATTACTTGGTTAAAAAAGGCCTCTTCAGCTCGTGGCTCAGTTGAACTTTTCAAGTCTAGTGTCTGGGTACACTTCCATGTCTCAGCATCAGCTGCTAGGAGCCACCCTTCTTCCCCAGCTGAGACCCAGATTTTCATTTCTCGATTTAGAGGACCCTGCGAGAAGACCATTGCCAACACTGACAGAGTCAGCAACTTAGCAGAAAAGGAGGCTACAATATAAAAAGTAATATCAACACAGCAGGGCCATTTAGCATAAGATAGGGCTGTGAAAAGTTGGTAATATTAATTCAAGAAAACTACCCCCGTGATAAGTATGATGTGATCAGGTCTCTCAGGTGATGTAACAAATGTGGCAGAATTGACCGGGTTGCCATCATGAGGTCTCAAAACTGCCACTGGTTGAGCTTTACAATCTTGCCATATCTTAACCTGTTGGTATTATGTAGAGGAATAAGCCTCACGCACAGAAAAATACCAACTGTTGCAAATATACCAACTGTTGAGAACAAACGATACACAGTGCAAGTACAAGATGAAGCTTAGCAAACCTCTTCAATTTAGAATCAGCTAGCAGAACCAAACTAAATTAAGCATCGGAATCACTTCAAATTTCAGTTCTTTAGATCAAATCAATTTCAGAAAGGTTTTGAAAAGAAGTTGACGAAAAGTGGAGGATTCGATTAAAGAAATTGATAAGAACAAACACAAACCGTGCCATCAACTGAAGAAGAAACCAGGCGCGTGGTCATCCATTGGCACATTGACAAATCGGTAACTTCTCCATCATGTTTCCCCACAATCTGGACACCATCAATCAGTTTATCAAGGGGACACTGGAGAGGTGCTTCGGCAGAGAATACTTCACCTCTGCCAACTTTGGTAGTATCAATTCGCAGCACATGTTTACCAATTGAAACCACCAAAATTTCCTGAAATTTGATTTTACGCAACCAGAGTGTATAAGACACAGCAGAGAGTAAATTGAAAAAGAAGCAACTTCCCATGGGAACAGAAATATGTTTAAGTACCTGTTTGTGGGAGTGCCAACAAATACGTGGATGTTTGATTTCTTCCTCTCCTAATATCTCAAGAGCAACAACTATCTTTCCAGTAATTTGGGGCTGATCATCTCCCTCAGACCCTTCCGAAATTTGCCACACGAATACTTTCCCATCTAGACTTACACTGTTTGGAAGAAGTCAAATAAAAATAGACGTTAAGATAAATGAAATCCCCAAAATAGAAGAATTTAAACCCAAAAAAAGAGACAGAAGAGTTGAATGCGCTTCATATAGAGTAGAAAAGCCTATTTACACAACAATTTCAGAACATTACCTAGCCAAAAGATGAACATCATCGGCAAAGAAAGCCATGTCCGTCACTCTCTGGACACAATCACGTAGTTAAAACCAGATGGAAATTACTAAATAAGTAACGAATTGAAGAGTTGGAAAACAACCTGAGAGTGGCCTTTGAACAAAGACCTCAATGCTGTGTTTATATTGAGAACCCGAATGTTTCCTCCTTTCAATCCGTAGCATATGTAGACCTTATTCACGGCGATTTGCCGACCCAAGACGAGCTGAGGATCCGACCCGTATTTGGTAATCGGAGTCACCTCCAGCTGAGGCTGAATCTCTCCATGTAATCTCACGTCAACATCATAAACAGCGTGTTCACCAACCAATCGCCTTCCCTTGGGCAGCTTACAGCTCGGGACACGAATAGGACCTGAAGGAAATGACCGAGCGATCTCGTGCGGATTCACTACAGGGAGCTGATGCGACGGCTCTTGGTTGGCCATGGCGCCTCCGCCGTTGTTATTGTTGAGGAGAGCGAGGATCTGCGGTCCAGGATTGTGATTGGAACGGGGCGATTGGAGATTTAGAGGTTGCGTGGGATGAGATAGTGTTCTCTGTGGTTGCAAGTTAGTTGCGGAGGAAGTGGAAGGCATCTCCGGTTGCTGATATTTCGTCTGAGTCACCGGAGATGGTTGGACGGCAATACTCGGCGGAACATAGAGCTGCTGATTGTACTGGTTCTGAAGAAAAGGGCCTGTAGGCGGAGGGTAAGATGCCGGCGGCGATGGATAAGGATTCGATGACGGTTTTAAGATATTCTTGAGATCGAACGGAGGAGGATTGTGAGGGTTAGTATTACCAGGTGAAGACGCCATGGATTTTGCAGATTCAAATCTAGGGTTTACGAAATCGATTGCTACAGAGTGTATTTGAGTGTAGAAGTCCTACCAAAAAAATTCCACAAAAAGAAAGAGTCGGCGGATCTGAAGAAACGGAAAGTCGCATACAGAGAGAGAGAGTGAGAGAAAGAGCGCGAAAAGCAAGAATAGAAACGAGAGAGACGATTACGACTTGATAGTGAGAGCAGCTAAAGAACTTTTGAAGACTTGCTTTTCTCTCGATGAAAGAAGTTAAGGGGTGACAATCACATATTTAATTAAAATATGAGGACGCTTCTGTATATATATTCAGATTTTGCTTTGTGCAACATTATTAATGGCATCTCAAGTTATAGTAGAACCGAACCGAACCGAACCGAACCGAACTGACCCAAAATTACGGTTTTTGGTTCAAGTTAGAGTAGACCAAATACACGATCAAATACACGATCAAATACATATAATCCATACACGATCTTCATGTTTCATCAAGGCTCTCAAGATCGGATACGAAGCCAAAAGTTCTTCATCCCACGAAATAACACTCAAGTTTGCATATGTATCAACAACACATACCAATCAGCTTCTTCACTCCACTATCGATCAACCTCTATGAGAGTAGGTGGTAGTGCAATCATTCCCAATATAATCTCATAATCATTAATGGGCCTAAACAGTAGGGCCCAACATAGTCTCAGAGTTAAATCTTTTTACTAATGATAGAGATTAGAGCTCTTATCAAGGGAAACCATGTTTATTTATTTATTTTTAACAATATCTATCAAGAAACCTAAATCGAGAAAGAAAATGTATATAAGGAGACCGTTGTCCAGATAGTTTATTAGTAGATTTTTGATTAGCTTTAAAAGCTAAGAAATAGGCGTAACGTCCCACACGCGCACAATCTCTTCTTTATATGTATCTCCCTTTCTCCCCCCACTAAATTTATCCTCTCTTCGACGTCTCTCCCTCTCTCCGCGTTTCTCGCCAACAAAACCCAACAAACAAAAACTCTCTCATATCTTATATTAGCAGAGTTGTTCAACCTAAATCGAAGACGAATCTCGGAATCTCCGGCGACAAATTTCAAACAAGGAAGAAGAGAATCAGAGGAAGACAACCAAAAAAAAAAGATGTGTTGCGGACGGATTTGCATGTTGTGCACGTGTTTGCTTCTGGTGGTGATCGCGATTGGGTTTCTATTCGGATTCGGAGTTTTTAAGGATGGATTCCACAAGGTCCAAAATTCCGTCCATCTCCAATGCGATCCGAGATTCGGCTGCGGCGGCGGAGCCCTTGGGCGTCGCGGTTACGGTTTTCCAGCTCCCGCCGGTAATAACTAGCTAACTGTGTTCTTAATGCTTTCGAATCGGCGGCGTTTTCCTGTGAACGTGTTGGATTCGAATTTGGATATATCGATTCTTAGGTTTTGATTTTCGTTGTTGTTTTACGTTTCCGCAAACACCTCACATTGATTCCTTGTTCATTCTAATTATGTTTCGTTAATCAGATTTAGTTTTTGACCTTAATGATTGATTTGATTTGTTTTTCTTTTCTTTTCAATATTGTATTTATTTTAGATAAGCACAAATAAGTAACGTCTATAATTCGTATTCGTCATAATTCTTGCAAGTTAATGTAGCTCGCAGCTTTTGAGCAAAAAGTTAAAACCATATTTATTTCAGATAATCACCAAAAAAGGATGCCTAAAAGTTGAACAATTCTTATTCTTATCTTACACAATAAAGTAAGATTCTCGATGACAATAAAAAGTAATATTCTCGTACCGGGTAAACCGTAAACCTCTTTCTCAGATGTTTGAACTTTGAGCACTTTGCGAGCTTGGTTTGTCTTGCGGGATATAACACTATCATCAAGCAATCATCAATGATGGATTTTTAAACGAGTCGCACTCAATGATTTTTGCTACAAATTTTTACTGTAGTCAGATTTTTATATCACATTCTACCTCACACTCTAGTCTTTTTATAGAAGAGAAAAACTTCCAATACTTGCCCCATTCTCTCTCTTTAGATTTTTTTTTTTCCAATTCTTTTTAAATCTAATAATGTAAAACTATATCTCAAATGTCAAATTGGTGGATATATGACTTTACGCTTTCGTAAAAACGATTGGGCAAACCACCAAACCAATTAAAACGATCCAGGGGTACTTTCGGGTTTTCAGAAAAGCCATGGGTATTTCGGGATTTAACCACTATCCTTGATAGAGCCTCTTACTCAAAGAGCGGGTTTGTTGAAGGTAATTTTAATAACGTAAATACGTAATTGGCTTCTCCCATAAGACAAGAGTAAACTTAAAAACCAGAAGGAAAGCCAACTTCGGAAGCCACATAGAGATTCCAAAGAGGAGACCGAAAAGCCAAACAGACGACGATTTACAAGATGAGGATCACTGTGATGACCGCCGGTGAACAAATCATTACGCTTGATGTCGATTCTCAGGAAACCGTAAGTTTTTTTTGCTCAAAAAACCTAACTTTCCTGATTCTTCGGTTCTTAAACCATAATGTACTTCCCGAATTGATCGATGAAGGTTCATGGGTTTATCTACTTTTTCCTTGATTAGTCTACGTTTTCGAAAGTTCTGCTTTTGTTGATCCTTAGGTTTTGTTTTCTCGTAGGTTGAGAATGTTAAAGCGTTACTCGAGGTTGAGGTAAGAAATCTCAGATCTCTTTTGTCGATTCTCATTTAGAATTGTATCGCTTGGTACTGTGTAAAAAAAGATCGAAATAGCTAAAAACCTGTTAAATTCTGCTAAAATATGGGGTTTTTGGAACTTAAAGCTACTTTATTTGTGTATCAACGAGCAGTCGAATGTTCCGATTCAGCAGCAGCAGCTGTTGTATAATGGAAACGAGATGAGGAATTCCGATAAGTTGAGTGCCTTGGGTGTTAAGGATGATGATCTTTTGATGATGGTTTCCAATACCTCATCTGGGTACGATGGATTGGCCTCTTACTACTCTATTTTGAAATTTTGCAATTGAACCATTCATCATAGTTACCATTGGTGTTTTTTGTTTTTTTGTTTTCTGCTTGCTTGATTCAGTAGTGCGGCGAGGAGTGATTTGGGCATGAATCCTGATGGGTCAGCTGCGAACCCTGCAGCCTTTCAACAACACCTTCGGGGTGATTCTAATCTTATGGGACAGTTATTTCAGGTGTGAATTGATGCTAACTAGAACTTAAGCTTGGAACTATGATATACTTCTTTGTCCTCGTTTTATTGACTCTGTTACCTTGGCTTTGATGTTGTGAATTGTAGACAGATCCTGAGCTTGCACAAGTGATTTCTGGAAGCGATTTAAATAAGTTACAGGATGTTTTGCGTTCACGGCATCATCAGCGATCTGTATTACAGCGTCAGAAGGAGGAGGAACTCGTAAGCTCTTTTTTTTTTTGTAAAAAATTGAGTTTCAGGAAAATTAGCTTCGAAAGAGTTGCTAGCTTCTCAGTTTTTCTGCACATTAAGTTAGATATACCACTATCAAAGGATTCTTGCTCATGTTTTTCCCTCCTTGCAGGCGCTTCTGTATGCAGATCCTTTTGATGTTGAAGCACAGAAGAAAATCGAAGCTGCAATTCGACAGGTTAATGGTTTTTACTTAAGTTGCATGCACTGAACTCTTGCATGTCTTTAGTCGCAAATAGATCTTTTGGATTCCTTGATACATTCCCTCACTTAGTTTTGGTTCTTGTGTTATATTTATTACTTTGTTATCTTTATGTCATTTCTGAGCTTTACTCCTGTCTTGATACGTTTGAGCAGAAAGGGATTGATGAGAATTGGGAAGCTGCCCTTGAACATAATCCTGAAGGTTTTGCTCGGGTGGTATGTCTGCTCGTGTCTGTTCATGCTTCTGAAATTCCTTAACATAACTTTCTTGTACACAGACCTGAAATTTCTTTTTCTCATTTCCGTAGATAATGCTGTATGTTGATATGGAGGTCAATGGCGTACCTCTAAAGGTAACCAGAATATAAGCTCTTTCCGGCTTACTATCTGTTTTCAATTTTTCACGGTTCCTCAGTGCGTTTCGAGATCTGTTATTGAGCATTCCTTAGATCATCTCTATGTTCTGAACATTTTACACCATCTCCAGGCTTTTGTTGATAGTGGTGCACAATCGACAATTATTTCCAAGAGTTGTGCTGAGAGATGCGGGTAACTTTTACACCTTAACTTATTTTAATAAGGAATGATGGAATAACTCATGAATCTTGTTAGAATTTCATACTTTCAGATTGCTGAGACTCATGGATCAACGCTATAAAGGTATTGCTCATGGTGTTGGCCAGTCAGAGATATTGGGCCGCATTCATGTCGCTCCAATCAAGGTAAAGACCACCTCAATAAAATTTCCTTTGTTCTTCTGTTTCATTATTCTTCGCAAATGAAAATGAAAATCTCGAAACTTGCAGATTGGGAATAACTTTTACCCATGTTCATTCGTGGTGCTGGACTCACCTAACATGGAATTCCTGTTTGGCCTGGATATGCTGCGCAAGCATCAGGTGACATCTCCATCATTTGATTTTGAACTTAGTGTACGTGTTTCAACCAAATGTAAAACCGTTTCTCTCTCTCTTTCTCTATGTGTAGTGCACTATAGATTTGAAGGAGAATGTCCTGACTGTCGGAGGAGGAGAGGTCTCGGTTCCCTTTTTGCAAGGCTAGTTCTCTTGTATCATTATTTTGAAATCCCCTTTATGTTTGTTAGCTTTTATTTCCAATTAACCTGACAAAAACCGCGTTTCCTTCAGAGAAAGACATCCCTTCCCGGTTCCTGGACGAAGAACGTGTTCCTAATCAAGCGACTAGCTCTGGAGCAGCTGTAAGAAATTTTGCATTTTGTCCGTTAGCTTTGGTTTTGATGAACTATGTAGTTGGAAAGAAGTTCTTAATCTGTTTTGGTCCTATAGGCTCCTTCTGGGTTTACAGAGAAGAAGAGCCACACTGTTGCTAGCCCAACGAGTCAACCTTCAAGCCAAAACACGTCAGAGGTAAACACTCTGAGGTTCAAAGTTTTTAGCCTCACACTTGTTTTGATTCCTTAAAATCATATTTATCATGGAACCCACAGGGACCTGAATTTGAAGCCAAGATTGCAAAGCTTGTGGAGTTAGGCTTCTCCCGCGAAGCAGTGATACAAGCTCTCAGATTGTTTGAAGGAAACGAAGAACAGGCTGCTGGGTTTCTCTTTGGCGGCTGAAGATTAAAAATTAATCTGGTCCCATATACCAAAAGGCCAACAAATTGTGATTTAAAGAGACTTGTTTTTTTCAATCTGCCTTTTTTTTGTATTTTTATAGCTCTTCTTTACAAAACATAGGAAAGGTGTAACTGCAAGACCATGGTTTCAATACATCTCTCCAGTTGTTGTTTATGATATCGAATAAGCAGTCTTAAGGATATTATAAAAATGCAATTCAGGTGTTTGATTTCTCATTCCAAAAGCTGACACTTAGGGATTCATGCAAATTCGTGTGACACAAACGCTTATTGTTAATGCTCTAAACTAAACAACAGATAAGAATACATCAAAATCACAATCTATAGAGAGAGAGAAGACACTTCTTCAAATCTTTAGAACATGGCGAAACAAGGACAACAGAAACCAACCCAAATACCAAAAATCAAGAAAAATTGTTGTTCCTTTGATGCAAAAATCAAGTTAACGTTCCGCCATTGACAACTATTCAGCTAATCTAGCAGTGACAGATCGGAGCTTGGAGTAAACTTTTCCAGCAGGCGAACCCATAATAAGACTGCACAGTGAGCTCCTAGCAACCTTAATACTAGTGAAAGCTCCCAAGATATGAATCCTAGTGTCTGCAATAACAATCCTTGTCTTAGTCGAGTTCTCGATAGCAAACTTGGTCTTACCTCCTTTCCCAGACAATCTCCCGATGGCACGAGACAAATGCTCACCTCTCAGAGTCTTGACATCCTTGATCTCAAACGACTCAACATAAAGCTCGTCCATCCTCAGAAGCGAGATAGCATCTGGAATGTCAAAACCAAGCATGAAGGCGTGAACAAAATCAGCAGACTTCTGTAGGTTACTGACGTCGGGAGTGTCAGCTCGAGTTTTGAGCTCGACTTTGCGTGACTTGAGATTCATCCTAATGTCGACCTTCATCTGATCGTAAACCGGTGTGTAGATATCTAACCATGCTTTCTTGAGCGGAGTGTACCGGTTTGGCGGTACGGCTACTTTTCTGAATTGCACTTTACCATCAGACATCTCATGAGCTTTCAAAGGCTTGAAGGTTGGTTTAATCGGCAATGGTGGCTCAACACTCTCAACTTCCATCTGAGTAGACTCTGCCATTGAAATCTTCAAATCTACTAGCTGTAATTAAAACATCGATAAGCATCCTAAGCATGAATGTGGAGTCACTAGTTTATCAATTAAAGTCCCAATAACTCCGATTTGGTACCCTAATAAAACTAATTTGACGAAACTATAAGTAAATATCTGGAAAAAAACAAAATTCTCGAGAAATTTTGAAGCAATTAGGATCAATTCAGCTTTTAGAGAGCTTTAAACCGAATAATCTGAGGAGATTAGAATAAATACCCGACTCTTTGATTGGGAACCGATGGCGGGAGAACGGAACAACTGATTAGCTTCTGCTTCAGAAGGAAAAGTTTATGAACTGTTGAAAGTTTTAAGCTTAGGGTTTAATAATGTCGCCTGACTTAAACGACACCGTTTTATTACGTCTCGAAGCATACTTTGGGCCATGAAGGCCCTATAATATTCATTAGGCGTTGACTATTGATTTAAACCTTTTTTTTTCCAACTTCAAAAAAGTACAGCCAAGACTTATAAAACAAATTAGTTGTGTTTTTTTTTTCTTTTCAGATGTGAATCTGAGCGTGTATTTCTGATTTTGTGTTACCGAAAATATGTTTGTATATAGGTATATTAGATAGGATGTATAACAACTTTGTTTCCATTACTAGACTTATGCTTATGAGTTAGTTTATCATATTTATTTTTCTTGAAGTTTTTTCATGCTCTAATTTGTACGTTGAATTGATTTAAGCATCTACTATATTGGATGGATTGATTAATAGAATATTCTCTTACAGCTTTGCTTAGGTTACTAAAGATAGGTCAGGTCATACGCTATTACAAATGATGGTTTTTGACTCGTGAAGATCCAAACTTAGAGATTTCCTCTAGAAAGGAGCAATCTATTCATAGTAAATCACAAAGAAACAAAGATCTTCGGTTTAGTTCGTTTCACCGAACAATATTCAGGTCAGCAAAAAAAAAAAATCTTCCAAATTCTTAAAATCTCCAGAATCAACAATAATTCAATGACAATTATCAAACACGAGACCAAGCCTGTGGCTTTCCAGGCATCGTTTATACCGATAAAGATTCAATAAACAACCATCATATATACGAGTTTCCTCGAAAAAAATGATTAACCAATCCAGCTCTGTCTCGTTACTCTACGTAGTTGAAATTGCGAATTCTACCCAAAACGTAGACGTCACTTGGTCTAAAACCATCTCTTCACATTCCTTGACCATCAAAATCGAGAATCTCAAAAAAGAAGAGCAAAATAATCATCATCATCAGGTGAAGATAGATCTCGGGGGTTCTTCGTTTTGGGCAAAAAAGGGTCTAAAGAGCTTAGAGGCAAACGGCACAAGGGTCGACGTATACTGGGATTTTCGTCAAACCAAATTCTCAAACTTTCCCGAACCTTCCTCTGGCTTCTACGTTTCCCTCGTGTCCCAAAACGCTGTCGTTTTGACGATCGGGGACTTAAAGAACGAAGCTTTCCAGAGGACAAAGAAAAAACCCTCGGCAACTGAAGCTGCCTTGGTTTCCAAGCAAGAGCGCGTTCACGGGAAACGCGTTTTCTACACGCGCACGTCTTTTGGCGGTGAGGCTTCACGCCGCGAAAACGAGGTGGTGATCGAGACTTCCCTGTCTGGTCCGAACGACCCGGAGATGTGGATCACGGTGGACGGTGTGCCGGCAATTCGAATCATGAATTTGAATTGGAGATTTAGAGGGAACGAGGTTGTGACTGTGAGTGATGGTGTTTCTGTGGAGATATTTTGGGACGTTCATGATTGGTTGTTCGAATCCTCTGGTTCGTCTAGCGGTTTGTTCGTTTTCAAGCCTAAAACTGGATTTGATTCTAAAACTCTTAGTTTTAATGGCGGTTATGGTGGTGAGAATGATGACTTTGGTGATTGTGGTGATGATGATTCGTCAACGAAGTATTGCCATGTTCTGTATGCTGTGAAAATTTGATTGAGAATTTGTGGCAGATTTTTTCTTTTCTTACGTTTTTTCAAAATAATTAGAAATTTTATGTATTTTCTTTTGTTGAACTATTAGATTTGCATGTATATTAATTTTTAGTGGATTGATTTTAGACTTTAGCTAGTCAATTACTATCTAGCATTATCTAAAAGGCTGAGTCAAGCAAAACAAATTTAATTGTGCAGTAATTGAATTTGAACATACGAGATTTTGATTTTGACTTATAGCGTGTGTTTTCTAGATTTTTTTTTTTTTGTGTTTTCTAGATTTATAGATGATTGAGGCTCTAATTGGCATTAATTAATAAGAAAAACTAATTAATAATCTGCTAGTGCAGAATGAATTGTAGTCTAGCCTTTTATAACCTTGGACGGCTTGTCATTTACTCTTTTTTCATACACTATTTTGTTATTTTTGTCAAGCTTTGTATATGGTGAAATGGAGACGACTTGTAGTCGAAAATTAAATTGAATTTTTTGTTTTTTTTTTGTAAACTGATCAAATCTATGATCACCGACGAAACTTTCAGAAAATTTACCTGTAGTAGAAAGGAGATGGACATGGAAGTGTGGAGCTGCAGATTTTGGTCTTATTAGGCATCGTGATACAAACCTGGGCTTATTCACTATGTTTCGTTGGACAAAAAGTGGGCTTCTCACCATGTTAAAGAAGACTTACGTTTTTCATTGTTACAAAGTGCAAATACTCAAATATTTTAGATAAATGTATTTGCTGTCTTGCTATATATATATTCGGTGTTTATGCTATGTTTTTGGCGTAGTACACCAAAGTTCGGTCGCGTTTGATAAAAAAAAACTTAGCGGCTGCTTTATTCAATGCATTCATCTTGTAGTGATTAGTATCCAAACCATCACAAAGTAAGTCTTGTTGATCATTAGCAGATACCCAGAATAATACACTTCACATAGACCATAGTCTTTAGATAAAATGGCCTCTAAATTAGTTATTAGATTCTACAGCCCCAAAGCAAATTTTTAACAGCTAGACGACCTACGCGCATTTGAGCTAGGGTTTTTGTACTTGGACGATTGCTGGGATTTCAATGTTGAAACTAGGGTTCAGGGTATCGATTGGCATTCAACATCGCGTGTTCGTTATTATTCCACGGTGAGTTAATTATTTTTGTTTCTTCAATTCGTCTTTCTCTTATCACACTGCCGTTTTCTTCGTCGCTTACAAAATCGCCAAAATGAGGGAAAATTTCATATTTCTGGAGAGAATTGAAATTGTGGTTGTGTTAGTCACGAGCTCGAAACCACTGGTAATTGGGAAGCTCTAAGTGTTGATCTTCTTCACTTTTGGGTACTGATCGTTTTGAGCTTGTTCTCTGTTCTCACTACTTTCTCTGTGACTATTACCATTTACCAATGAGAACATATACGTTTCCCTATAAGTAAGGCATAGCTTAAATCTTCAGTCTTTCACTTCTGATATCTGTAGGGTGAAGAGACACTTGCCGCCGCCGAGAATTTTGTGTTCAGATAAGCGGGACTACAATTCGTCGGGACTGAGTCGGTATGTTCCAAAGAAGTCTCGAGAGATTGGCGAAGAATTGACATCTCAGCCTGTTGATACCTCTGAGAAGGTTATATATGCTAGTAGATTTGATCATAGTATATTGGGATCTGAAGCGAAGGGTAACATCAAAGAGGCTAGAGAGGGTATATATTTGGATTCGCAAGAGAAAAACGGTTCTGGAAGTTACATGAATGAGTCTTTCGATGACTCTAATGAAGGTGTTATGAGTTTGGGGAAGAGTATAACTGCTGGTAGATGGGATCATAGTGTATTGGGTTCTAAAGTGAAGGGTGACTTTAAAGAGGCTGGAGAGGGCACATGTTCGCACCTGCAGGATAGAAACGATGCTGGAATGCACAGGAGCTTGTCTTGTGATGACTCTAGAGAAGGTATTATGCAAGCTCGGTTATGGTTACTCTTTAGGAAGTCTCTATTTGGATGAAACTATGGAACTAAAAAAGATACTATTAGTAATCTATCGTGGATACTGAGTTTTGAAAAGGTTTTCTTGGCCTTTATAATATCCCAAGTGGCCTAAATTACAGTTCACTTGGATTTCGGTATTATCTCCAAACCAAGCCTAACGGAGACCCATATTTGTCTAATTTCTGTGCAGAGCTGGAAGACAGCAGCAACGATGTCAGATCTAGAGGTTATAAGTCGATGAGACAACACAAAAAAGCTTATGATGAAATCAAATTACATATGGAAGCTGAGCCGGCAAAGAGTAGCAAAGAAGCCTGCAAAACCACGCAAGAGGCAGAGAACATGGCTATTCGTTATCTTGGTTTAAGGTTGGCTTTGCACCATTGAAGTTTTGTAGGTTCATTTTGAAATGTTGAATAAAGGTTGATTTATCTTCTTCTTCATTATTCTATGTGCGTACGATTTCTTATCTTCTTATTTTGCTTTTCCCAGAGCATATACAGCAGTTGAGCTGAAGAAGAAGCTCATTGGAAAGAAGTATCCTCTTGAAATCGTTGACAGAGTGATCAATGATTTTCAGCATCGGTGAGATTCCTCTCGATCCTTGTTTTCAACTAGGATCCATCCATACCATATGCTTGTTTTCCTCGTTATGTAAAGTTTCTAGATTGCTTTGTGGTAACAATATCCACTTTACTGGATTACACTTGAGTGAGAAAAAGTGTCTCTGTCAACTTTTTTGTCTGTGTTTCAGAGGTTTCATCAACGATAGCTTGTACGCGGAGTCATTCTCTCGATCTAGATGGTCTTCCTTAAGCTGGGGACCTAGGCGGATCAAGCAAGTAGGTTTTCACTTTTCTCTATTGAGGATTTTTCACTCACCCAAATTACTGCTTTTGCTTTTCGTTTGGTGACAATAATTTCAAAAGAATGATTTTCCCATTCACATAGTAGTTACAGTCACATTTTTTGGTGAGGATAACAATGTTCTCTGATACTAGCATTTATGTGTGTGGATCAGGCATTGTTTAAGAAAGGTATAAGCAACAAAGACTCAGAGGCGGCCATAAAGCTTGTTTTTGAGAAAGGCCAATGCAAGGAAGAAGATGAAGAAACAGAACCGAGGCACGGGATGTCCAAGGAAGCTGTGGATCAGCTTTATGTTCAGGCGTCGAAGCGGTGGCTCCAAGGCAGATACTTGCCTGTAGAAAATCGTAAAGCTAGAGTTATCAGGTGGCTTCAGTATCGGGGATTTAACTGGGGTGTTGTTTCCCAGCTTCTCAAGAGGTTAGAGTCTCATCAGTCGTGACTCGTGACCATATTTTACACTTCAATCCTTTTGGCCCATAATGTTGAATGGGGTGTGGCTCGCAATTTGTAATATCAATAAGATTCACTTGCTGTAGGTAAGTTTCACTCACTGAATCAGTAATCACTGTGTGATTGGTGTGTCGATATATAGTTGAAATTCTCTATAAAAGACTAAAAGTATTTAGCCTTACCTAATTGTTGTATTCCCAAGGTTCAAAGCATTAGTTTTATACTTTAATCTTTGCGCGGGGCTTTTTAGTTTTATCGGAAAAGCAGTTTCATAGAATCTCAATCAGAATCCTTTATCGAAACATCAACGATAATGCGTCTTGATTTGGCGCAAACTGTACTTATCATTTAAAACGGCATGACATGCACTAATAAAAACGGCACTACGTCTAAGGCGGCTATTAGAGAAAACGCTGTCGTTTGGTCCGTAGTAAAGTTTTTAACCCTCGATAGGTCGGGCTCTTCCTTTGCATCCATCTTCGCACTTTTTTAGAGACGCGAGAGGCTTTCTCTGTTTTTTTCTTTTTTCCTTTGGCTTGATTCCGCTGAAAACGAAGGTTATAGTCTATAGGAGAGTAGAAATCTGATGGGAAAGAGAAAAGAGCGTCGATTTGCGGCCAATAATACCGGCCGTCGTGTCAAGCTTGATCTCTTTGCGGAACCCTCTGGTATGCTTTTTCTTTGTGAACTTATCTTATCGATTTCGATTCTTTCTCTTTTGATCGATGAAATCTACCGGATTGTTTGGAACTAGATCATGTGATTTTTTTTCTTAAGGGAATTTGAATATGTTAGAGTTGGATTTGTAGAGTCACTGACGGTCTCAAGGTTTCGATATCGTTTCTTTTCTGGATAAATCCTGAGCTAGTTAATCAATCCGACTAAGTGCGTGCGGGTGATAAAGATTCTGGTTACCTTTTTTGGAATTTTCCGAATTTCGTTTTTCCGCCTTTTGTAGGAGATTTGGGTGGCTCAGATGTGCGTGATGGAGTTGAGAGGGAGCAAAAAGAACCTAATGAGTTACCCAATTCACCTTCTTCTTCAGGTGGGTTCCATCAGCTATCTTCAACTCCGCTATGTAGCAACGCCTTTAAGTGCTCGACATCTTAATGGTGCAAAATTGGGAATTCTTGTTTGTGTTCCAAACACATGTTATGTTGTTTGCCCCTGAAAATTTCTTCTCAGAGTATAGAATGGCTGTGGTCTTGGGGACATCGTGTGACATCAGTTCAGGCCAAGCCACGGTGATATTATGAATGAGTTGCTCTATTTTGCAGCTTCAAGCTTTATGGGGACTTTCTTCTGGGCATAGCTCCTAGCGGTTCGTATGTCTCTGGCTGTTTTGGCTTGCAACGCTTAAACTGACGGATTTGTCATTAATTTGTGACAGGTCGCTGATAAATCTTCCCCGACGCTTTTCTCCATCCTTTTTACTTTCGAATGCAACCTAAAATATCTTATAGCTACTCTGTTCATCTGTTTATCTAACTGAAGTCTAGGGTTGTAGTTAGTGGGGTTTTTCTCAAGTTTGACGCTTTAGTCTTCTTTTTTCAGGTCAGAAAACAGAAAACCCTTTGCTTTTACTTGGGCAGTATAGTGATGATGAGGTGGAAGAGGATTCGGTTGAGAGGGCAGATGATGCCACTGCAGATAGTTCCCTAGCCGTAAAGAACGAGCAGGTAACAATAATTTACTTATATAAATACTGATGATGTTTTCTCTGTTAGTCTTGATGAATTTTATTCAAACCAGGTTGATGGATTAATCCACGAAGGACAGAAAGAAACAAATATAAAATCTTGTGCAGACACCACCATGCAGATGGTTGATCAACAGCAAACAGGGGAGGATTCTTCTGCACCTGATTTTAAGGCTGAAGCGGTTAGTGGTTATGTCGCAGTGAGTAACTCGGCAATCTCGGATAGACCAAACAAGCTGGTAGATTCGTCAGTTCAAGCATCTGGCACCGTGTCTTTGGAGCACCATGCTCCCACAGATGTTACTTCGCAGTGGAAGATGATTTTGCACGAGGAGAGCAATCAGTATTATTACTGGAATACAGTAACTGGGGAAACATCTTGGGAAATTCCTGCGGTTTTGACTCAGACTGCCGGTGCATATGGGACTGGGTACAACGAGCCTGGGGCCATGGTTACAGATGCGTACACCCTGATATCTGGTGTTGAACCAAGCTATTTTCAGCAACCCGTGCAAAATATTTACACAGGAACTGATTGTTCAACAGCTGAGCTGGGTGAGAGAAGCAAAAGTGAAGATCATTATGTCAAAAGCTTAGGAACTGATGGTGATCGAGTTGAATGTCAGATAGACTCTGCTGTTAATTACCAACCATGTCAGGAGGAACTTGAAGGGCCAGGAAATCCAGATCATGGGAATGCTACTTTTGATCAAGGAGCGGTTACTGACCTCCCGTCTCGCCTGCTGAGCCAAAGCGAAAGCTTACTGGAGAAGCTGAGGTCTCTGAAGAAGTAAGCCATCCTTGTTTGCGTCTTCTTATTTACACGTTATATTGTTAGGTAAATATATCATAGTTCTCTTATCTTCTTTAAAATATGATTATCTTTAATTTCTAAAAAAATTAGGTCTCGTGGGAACGTTCACAGCAATGAGCAGATATCAAAGTACATTCTGGAGCTTGAAGTTAGGCATTCTGATGTAAAGGCGCTTATATTGGAAACCTCACCTTTACTTTCTTTTTGGCTCCACACTGAGAAACAACTGAAGCGATTGGAAGACGGTGTTAATGATGAGATTTATGAGCTTGCAAAATCCGCAGTAATGGAAGAAATCGCAGAACCTAACAAAAGCTCTCCCAAAGATAAGTTGGTAGCAGAGGCTAATGCAGAAATTGAATCCGAGGACAGTAGGAAAGAAGGAGAGTTAGCACAAACTGGAAAAACTATTCATTCAGATGAATCAGCTGATGTGGGTGGTGATGGATCTCCCAGCTCTGTACGAGGCCATCAAGATCAGCAATCTGTTGGTACTCCTTCAGGTGAGATGCTTCAGAAGGCTGGCTCTCCAGTTGTGGAAGATATTGACATGGATGTGGATATGGAGGTTGAAGAATCAATTCCAATATCTTCTGTTCAAGTGATAGAGGCTTCAGATGGTAAGATGTCCAATCAGACAGAGCCATCCGACTTTCAGACGGATATTCCACCACCTCCGGGTGAGGAATGGGTTCCGCCACCGCCGTCTGAGAGTGAAGATGTCCCTCCACCTCCACCAGACAGTTATAGTGAACCAATTCCACCACCACCTCTCGAAAGTGGTCATGTACATCCACTTTTGTCAAGTGATTCTCTGGGAGTTTCCTATACCGTACCACAATCTTATATGCAGCAATCTGCTGATTATGCGGCACAATACAACTTGCCCTATTCGGAGTCCAGTTATCAATATATTACCAATTCTGTTGCTCTAGCTCCTAGCACTCAGTTCTATGGCCATGTCGATGGATCTCAAGTCTCTCTGCCTCCGTCGGCATTTTATTATGACACTGTTCCTGGTGCAAGTGAAGTAACTCCTGCAGCAGCCTGTGCCGGTGAAGCTTATTACGATTTCAAAGGTGCAGCTCCGCTGTTTCCTGTCGTTAGCTCTGCAGAGTCATTGCCGCATCCCAGTGGAGTTGGTTCTGCTAATTTCAATATCCCAAGCAATTCTTCTATAGCTGTAGAGCATAGCTCCAGATCCAATGCCTCTGCTGAAATGGCATCTTTGAGCAGTGCTTCTCAATCCACAGATGTTACTGGTGTATCGTCTGTATTAGCAAAGGGTCAATCTAAAGGTATGGTTTTTAATCACCTTATATTCATCATTGATCTCTAATCATGGTTTTAAACCTTGCTTTTTACATTCATAGTTTTCGGTTATTAATAACTCATCGGCTTTGGTAACAGTGAAACGGCCTAAAAAGCGGACAGTTACTGCTACATCGACATTAAGGTCAAATAAGAAGGTTTCAAGTTTGGTGGACAAGGTACGTTCTTGTTTTTTTCTTGAAATATCCTTTCAAACGAACCCTTTATTGTAGTTTATCATATAGCTAAAACTTAATTGTCTCTCCACTTGTGCTCAGTGGAAAGCTGCAAAAGAGGAGCTAAACGATAGTGAAGAAGAAGAAGAAGAAGATTACGGGATCCTAGATAGAAAAAGGCGTAAGGAAATCGAAGAATGGAAATCCCGACAAATCGCGAGTGGAGAGGCCAAAGACAATGCAAATTTCCAACCTCTCGGTGGTGACTGGTTAGTTCCTCTTTGTAATGCAAAATTCATTTGTCTCCTCCTCCACCATAAAAAAAAACATGATTCAGTTACTTAATGTGGTAAACATGTTATTGATGAGATTAGGCGTGAGAAAGTGAAACGGAGGAAAGAACGAGCAGGAGGTGATGAAGCTGCGGAGTCTAAGAAAAAAGACGAAAAGCAACAAAAACCTGATCTGACCAAACTCTCAGCACATCTCCCCTCGGGATGGCAGGTATTTAGCGTTTTTTTAATTTTGCCGTTTCACTATTCGTTTGTTTTGTAAATGGAAACGCAGTCGCTAAACTCATTGTCACTCACTTGATTTGATTACCCCTTCTCGCAGGCGTATTGGGACGAATCTACCAAAAAAGTTTACTATGGGAATACAATTACATCTCAAACCTCTTGGACACGACCCACCACCTCCTGAACTGCTGAACCAAAAAAGTTTTCTCGACCAAAATTTTTTTCTTCTTATTTCTACAATAGATTACTTTTAGGTTTCCTCGATCTTGATGTAAATTTATTAGAGAGCCCATCGTGTTGTAGATCTCATCAGAGCCGTGGTCACGGTATAATATAAAAAACATGGGCCTAGGGCCTCAATTTTTGGAGAAAAACGTGGAATCTTTTGTTTGCAAGATTTACACATACATATTTGTCTCTTTAATTTTTTAATTTGTTTTTAGTAAGTTCAATATTATTGGTTAGTATCTCTATGAAAATAAGAATAAAAAAACAACATAGAAGATAGTTAAAAAAAGTAAATAAAACAAAATAAAACATTGCAATATTAGAATAAACAGTTTATTGAGTTTATTTCTATTCTAATTTGTCTTTTTTAACATTCACCAAATTCATTAAGTTTGATATTTGTATTTCTTGTTTTTTTTTACTTTTATTTCATTTTCAATCATTTCTATTGAAGTTTTTTTCTAAATTACAACCACAAATAATAAAAATTTATGTTTAGATTTACAGATGACACCAAACAACATAAAAAACTAAAAAATATTAGATTTTAGAACTAAGTTTTTGTTTGTACTTTTTTTATTTTGTTAAATAATAATATTAATTTTTACAAACACATTTCTGTTTTTTGATTATCCATTACTGTAGTCATTTATACATTTGATATACATATTTGAAATATAATTTTTTTATTGATATGTTTTTAATATGATGTAAAATTTGTGCAATCCAATAAATTCTCATCTGATGGAAAACATTAATATTTAAAGTTAAAAAATATTTTATTATTATTGTCTCTAGTCAATATTTACTTAAGCACGGTTCTGGGTCTCAGATGTTTGGATACACATTCTTTTTACTAGATGTTATCATTTTACCATTTACTTTTAGTTTCTCAATACTCTGACCTTTTAAAAAAACTTGTATGCCTCTGATTAAACTCCAACCCTATATTCCCTCAGAAGCTTGTTTTGAGTGACTGAGATTTTTTAGAAATTTCATCCTTTTTTTTTAGCATGGAAAAGAAAACACAAGATCGCTTGAATTTAATTTAATTCCTTTTGTGCAAGCAGCAACAATGAATATCAGAGTTTCCTCTACTTATTATGCATTTTTCGTAAATTGAAGAAGAACATAGTAAATCCGTTATTAACAACAAAAAGAAAAGAAAAACAAAGCCCGTGTCACGTTTATATATATACACGCACATTGGAGAACGAAATTTAAATGGAAAAGAAAGACATTATATATTATTAACCATGGGGACGACTTAGGACTTGGGAGAGGTAGAATTAGAGCCTCCTCCTGCCAACATGGAAAGGTTAGACGGAACAGAGATGCCACGTGACATACCGAGTCCAGCGTTACGACGGTGGTAACGGCACCTGAAGGAGCCAGGGTGTGTGGTTGGTGCGCATAAACAGTTTTGCCTCACGCTCGATGATTTGCCCATCATAACCACCGAGCCACCATCGCCGCCACCTCCACGTGCACGTGGAGACATGTTGTAAGCTTCTTGTCTTTTAATGTCGTCTTGGCTTATCTCTTGATCTGTCTCCTTCAGTTTGATCTTCATCATCATTCTCCTCTTCGCTTCTTCTTTCTCTTTTCCTTCCATTTATTTTTCTTGTTCCTCTTTTTGTTTCTCTTTCTTCTTTTTTGTTTCTCTACCTTCTTGCAAATAGGAAAACCTCTAAAAATAGTCCACAGTAATAGAATTATGAAACTGAAAAAGAAAAGAAAAAAGCTATCAGAAGTTAGGAAAAAGACGTAAATTAACGTAATAATTAAAAATGTATTTCTAAAAATAGTGGATTTTCCAAATATCAGTTTTCTGCTGACCTGAATACCCGAGATTGTCGTTTTCTTAGCTAGTTAATAAAATAGATGTTTGCGTTTGTTAAGCGTTTAGAGGAAAGAAACTCTAATAATGCTATTATTTGAAAAATGCGAGCTCGCAACGCGCCAATGATGCTAAAATGGGCTTTAATGAATTCATTTTGGGCCTTCGAGACTAAATTATACTTTCACGCTTCCAGTAATGAGATTCATTTTTTATTGACATCACAATAGTCATTTTCTGTCGCTCAGTTAAAGTACAAGTCATAATCAATTGTAATGCAATATTTGAGATTCTATTATGTATTTGTACATATAGAACAGTTCGAATTTCATAATGTAACGTATTTACAAACTGATATATATTCTGTATGATTTAACTCTAATATATTTTGATGATAAACTATATAGATAACAAAATCCACAATGTTGGTACAAAACGAAAGTGTAACTATACAACAAGTACACGGTCTGATCCGAAAGAAACCAAAAACAAAGAGAAAATAAGTAACCATGGCCTCAAAACACATTTTAACGATTTATACGTAAACTATCATTCCCGTACAATAATTCCTGATAATTGAATAAACATCTAGGGATTTTTTATTTAAAATTTTTAATTTTGATCTTAAAACCTCTTAAGCCAATTTGTAGGTAGAACCTACGTAAACAGTTTACCACAAAAAAAAAAAGAAAGCAAAACTTACTGGCACTTGAGGTCTTAACCCATACCTAACTGAACTCTAATCTTTGTTCAAAATTCCCAATCATAGTTCGAAACAACAAAATCTACAAGCAATAAGAGACCACATAAAGCATTCAACTTGAGCGCTAAAGAATGATGAATGCACATTATGCAGAGATTAAAATAATTCGTGAGATTATGCAAACTAAGCAAAGCTAATTCGTGAGATTATGCAAACTAAGCAACGGAGGAGGGGAGCTAACAGTGAGTGAGTAATTGATCATCTAACGAGACTAGCACCAAACGATCATTCTTATGGCAGAGAGAAAACAAACTCCGAAACCAAATATGCTAAAGTCACAATCTAAGTTAAGAGATAAAAACAACACTTAAATTAGACAAAGACACACACTAGAAGATGTCTAATATAGAATTAAAACTTTTGATGCTCTTCCTGTCCTTAGCAAATCCTTCCTGATGTGGCCGCTACATGATAACTCTAGTTTCCTCTAGAATGCAACTACACGAATCTAGAGAATCATGTGAGAAGCTTCTATAGCGTCTACCAAAAGGATCTGATCGGTGTTACTTCGAGCCTATCTTGCATATGGATGGTATCGACTACTGCTACTATATCCCCTCCCATAGGGACCACCTGCTCCTTCATAGCCACCTGGGCCACCAGATTCAAATGCCCCACCATAGCCTGCACCGCCATATCCACCGTAGCCTTCCCCTCCTCCACGACCATAACCGCCATAACCCTCCCCACCAAACCCGCTTCCATAGGGTCCAAAACGGCTAGAATAGCCAAGGGGAGGTTCATTACGGTAACCTCCTAAATTGCCACCGCCATAACCACCATACCCTCCTCCAAATTCAGGGCCTACACCGCCACGACCATACCCATATCCCCCAGCAAACCTATTAGGAGGACCTCCATGTGACCTAATGGGACCTGGAGGACCATACCCTCCATCAAAACCTCCATAAGGTCCACCATATCCGCCATAACTATCGTTAAAAGAACGACCTCTAGGGTGACTACCATAAGAAGGAGGTGAACGGTTAGAAGATTTCTTTGGTTCGGCTTTCTTGATCTCCACCTACAACAAAGCAACTTATTAACCTAGCTATGCTATTGGATGCAAACTATAGCAGGGAGTTTCTAGCTTACTGTGACAACCTCCTTACATTTGGCAGAAGCTAATGGGCCGAATACTAACTAAGTTTAACGTGTATAATGAAAGGAACAAGCAAAGAAATTGAACTAAAACAAGGAAAGATATGCCATATGTTTTAATGTACCACACAATTCTAGGCCCCATTCAAACATGCTTACCTGAGTGTCTGCCATATCGATCATCTTTCCTTTGGACAATAATTCATCTACGACCTCTTCGCTGTCAAAAATTACAAAACCGAAACCTCGGGACCTGTTTGTTTCATGGTCTCGGATAATCTGGTGTTCCACTATGGTCCCATATTTGGCAAAAAAGTCCTTGAGTTCATCTGATCAACAAAACAAACAACGATAAGCACAGAATACCAACACTCTCACGAGAACGCAATAGCTTCAAGATGTGCCATGAGATAGGTATACCTTCTGTAACAGTGGAGGGTATACCACCAACAAAAATCTTCTTCGTTTTGAAATCCTTTGACTGATTGCCACCAGCACCTTTCGGGATAGTCCTTTTGATCTCAACCTGTTCCATCGGTCCAAGAACAGAATTATTGACCAAGATTTGATATAAAGGTATGCTAATAAACATCAGAAAACTAACAATCAATGAGAAATTCTCGAATTCCCAAATGACCTGTTTCCCATTGATGATATGAGTATCTTCGATAACTTTATCAACAACAGAAGGGTCAGCATAGGTGATGAAACCAAAACCCCTAGGTTGTCCTGTATGTCGATCTCGCATAATGACTGAATCTGTAATCTCCCCGTACTTGCCAAAATGCTTATTGAACACAGCTGCAGTAAAAATCAACCATCAACAACCCAATAGGCCTAACATCAGGCACACATGACTACAACAATCCGTAACCCCGCGACATCAAGGACTCAGTACAGATTATGTTTTGAAACTAAACAAATAACCATTACGAAACCCAAAAACGCGATTTCTGTATCAAAACAAGCAGACGAGAAAGTAAGAAAAACGAGAGAAACTTACTGTTAGTGGTATCTTTGTGTAATCCTCCGATGAAAATTTTCCTGCGACACAAATTCGAAGCGAAACATAAATTTAGCTAAACCTCCAACAAACGCAACAAAAACTTAAAACAAAACGAGGTATCAGAGATACAGATCAGGAGAGTTTTCCCTAATTGTTTCATTGATCCTCTGGATTCAAACATGCAATGACGGAGGTAAAAAAAACGTACCCTGGACTGGCGCCATCGCCGGACTGGAAATTGTCACTCCGAGATCTGGACCCCATCGCAATTCTTAATTCAGTCAGTGTTTGTGTTCCTCAGAGAAACCCCCGAACTAAGGATCGAGAGAGAATCCGAGAGCTAGGTTTTTGAGTTTTTTTTCTTTCGGAGGAGCTGATTCAATCGAAGATCTACTATTTTCTAACAAGAGATAGCTTGATCGTATCTATATATATTTTTTAACATTTTAAGACATCGACTCGCGGAAAAAATAATTGGTTTTTTTTTTTTAGCACGGCTGGCCTGTCAAATTTTTCCTTTTTTGACATCAAAGACTAAAAAGAAACCCAAATAAAAAAGAAAATAATGTTGGCACTGAAGAAGCCCAAAAAAGAAAAAACAAATGTTGACAGTGGGATTTGAACCCACGCCCTTTCGGACCAGAACCTTAATCTGGCGCCTTAGACCAACTCGGCCATATCAACTTTGTTGACATTAGCTACTGTATAATAATACTTAAACGTTATGTAAATGTCGTCAGCGTGTACAAGGAGAGAGACATTTAGCGGTAACTTTGAAGTCTTATTTGTGTTCAAGTCCCATACCCTCCCTCTCCAAACATATGACCACCAGCGGCGGCGATGAAAGTCTGGATTTCTTTTAGTGATTTTTGTGTGTACATTCTTAGGAAACATTCAGAAATTTACAATATGAATGTAATTCTTCCGAATTTTACATTAGAACAAGTTATCACTTTATACTCAATGTGGTGGACAACGGGGCAGGCAAGGACTCTTTGGCTGACTACACCATAAAAATGGAAATGATTATTATTAACCTACCAAATAATTAAGTAAATGAAACTGATATTTATTTCATCTTCTCCTTGTGGAAGTCAACCACATGCATAAACTAAAGGAACTCAATCCCATTAAAATACAAAACATTGAAAGAATGTGGTCTACCAAACTAACACCCTGATAAAAAGGAAATGAAAAAGAGAACACAAAAAGCAAGAAAGTTTCAGGTTTGACACAGTTGATCCACACACTTCTTCCGTTATATAACACAGCCCTATATCAAGATCAATTTCTTGCATCTCAAGACTTTATACAAAAACATGGAGATCAGAAGATCGACAGAAGAAGCTGAAGACAATCATGTAATGCAGATTTCAGGCAGCAATGGCATAGTTCACAACATGGAGTTCATGCCCCAAGCTTACCTCAGAAACCAATACTCCTCCGAAATTGATATCCATGAAGAATTTGTTTCCTCTTATCCTCAAGAAGATGCCCCTCTTCCCATATTCCTCAAGGTTCCTCCATCTCTCTCTCTCTCTCTGTTTTTGCTTTTTCTTTCTCGCTACGAGACAGACTCAATAGTCTCAATCTACAGTTTGAAGATGTGGAGTATAAAGTGAGAAAAAGCCAAGCTAGCTCAGCAAATCTGGTGAGAACAATGGTGTCAAAGGTGGTCACACATACAAATCCGGATCAAGATGGTTACAAGCATATTTTGAAAGGCATAACAGGAAGTACGGGTCCAGGAGAAATCCTTGCACTAATGGGTCCTTCGGGTAGTGGCAAAACGACACTCTTGAAGATAATGGGAGGAAGATTAATAGATAATGTCAAAGGCAAACTTACCTACAATGACATTCCTTATAGTCCCTCTGTTAAGAGGAGGTTAGATACCAGAGACACGCGTGCAGAATTAGCTAATTACTTCTACCTGAATACCACTATATATTATATACGCTTATCTTTGATTATTCTCCAGAATTGGATTCGTGACACAAGACGATGTTCTGTTGCCACAACTTACTGTGGAAGAGACCTTGGCATTCGCTGCGTTTTTGAGACTTCCAAATAGCATGAGCAAGGAACAAAAATACGGTAAAGTTGAGATGATCATCAAAGAGCTAGGCCTTGAAAGGTACATGTTTTACACATTTCCTGAGATTGCGAGAAATCGTACACTTTCTTTAAACATGTCCAGAGAGTTTTCTTGGAAAGAAGAAACACTAAACTATATTGTCCTTATGAAAGATGCCGTCGCACAAGAGTTGGAGGAGGTTTTGTTAAGGGAATATCAGGTGGAGAAAGAAAAAGAACGAGTATAGCATACGAGATTCTCGTAGATCCTTCTCTGTTGCTTCTGGACGAGCCAACCTCTGGACTTGACTCCACTTCTGCCACCAAACTTCTTCATATCCTGCAAGGAGTAGCTAAGGTGTTCTGCATTTCTTTTACCATGAAAGTAGATTACTAGCAAATTTCTTGAAAGAAATTGTCTTTTGCAGGCAGGAAGGACCGTCATCACTACAATTCACCAACCATCAAGCAGAATGTTTCACATGTTCGACAAGCTCCTACTGATCTCAGAAGGGCACCCTGCTTTCTACGGAAAAGCCAGAGAATCTATGGACTATTTCTCATCATTGAGAATCTTACCTGAAATTGCAATGAACCCTGCAGAGTTCTTACTAGACTTGGCAACGGGACAGGTGTCAGACATTAGTCTCCCGGACGAACTTCTGGCTACAAAAACCTCTCAACCTGATTCTGACGACGTGATAGTGAAAGTAAGTATCAGATAAAGTCATAGGACTATTTATATACTTGTGTATTTAATGGGACTCAATATATCCTAGTGTTATGATTGCAGTACCTGCAACTAAGGTACAAGACAGACTTGGAGCCTAAAGAGAAGGAAGAAAACCATAGAAATAGAAAGGCCCCAGAGCATCTTCAAATAGCAATCCAAGTGAAGAAGGACTGGACGCTCTCATGGTGGGATCAGTTCTTGATTATTTTCAGAAGAACATTCAGAGAGAGGCGTAGAGATTACTTTGATAAGCTAAGGCTAGTTCAATCACTTGGCGTGGCCGTTGTGTTGGGTCTTCTCTGGTGGAAATCAAAGACAGACACAGAGGCGCACCTCAGAGACCAGGTAATAACGAAGCTACATAAATTTTGCGAGCGATTATACCAAAGTTGTAGGCAGGCCTCCTAATTTAGCTCGTCTATATGCAGGTTGGTTTGATGTTCTATATTTGCATCTTCTGGACATCTTCATCTCTCTTTGGAGCAGTATATGTGTTCCCCTTCGAGAAGATATACCTGGTGAAAGAAAGAAAAGCTGACATGTACAGACTAAGCGTGTATTACGTATGCAGTACACTATGTGATATGGTGGCACACGTTTTATACCCCACAATCTTCATGATCATTGTCTACTTCATGGCTGGGTTCAAGAGGACAATCCCTTGCTTCCTTTTCACCTTGTTGACAATACTACTTATAGCCATAACTAGCCAAGTAAGCACAGAAAATCCTGAGAAATTTTCTCTTTTTTCCAAAACTGAGACAAATGTAACCGCAGGGTGCAGGAGAGTTCTTAGGAGCTTCAGTATTGAGTATTAAGAGAGCTGGCATGATCGCATCTTCGGTACTAATGCTGTTTCTTCTAACAGGAGGCTACTATGTTCAGGTACCACAACTTATGTTCAGGTAAAAATTCGAAGTGCTTATGCTAACAACATCAAGTGATGCGTTTTTGAACTGGGAATGCAGCACATACCCAAATTCATGCAGTGGTTGAAGTACTTGTCCTTCATGCACTACGGCTTCAGGCTGCTTTTGAAAGTTCAATACACAGGGGACCAACTTTTCGAATGTGAGAGCAAAGGCGGTTGCAGGACTTTGCAGACCTCATCATCCTTCGACACAGTCAACTTAAATGGCGGCTTGCAAGAATTATGGTTTCTACTTGCCATGGCCTTTGGCTACCGCCTCTGTGCATATTTCTGCCTTCGCAGGAAAATTAGCATTTGCCATCTTTGATAAGAATATGCGAACCAAAAAAAGACGATAGAAAAAAGGTTTATACAATCAGAGACTCGACTAATCCATCATATGCTACTTTCCAATTTTGTAAAGTGACATGGTGTCAATGTTGAATTAAATGAGTAGGGAATCTGGGAAATAGCTTTAAAGTCAAGCGCATAAGCTTTTGATATAAACCATAAAAAACAGTTGTTGGTTGGCTTCTGTATTGGTACAAAGAGATATCGTAAATCCCAGACAGAATAAAAGCCTTAATTCATTCATCATACAGACAAGTAGCAAATAAAACTCTTGTTCAATCACTTCATGTATCTGTGGAGGAATTTTCTATGGAAGTCATTCCTGATTGTATCATTGATGAAGCGCTTAGGAGCTTTCATTTCCCCACGTGCCTGATTCTTGAATACCACATCATCATCCCACCTGAAAACAGCAAAAAAAAATCTTAAGTATCTGCCTCCAAATTAATATCATCCCAAGATTCATGAAGAAACAAGATTTCAACACAATCCTAACCTCCTTTTGACATTAAACAAAGTTGGAGTGTTGTTAAGCAGTGGGTTCCCTTTAAGAAGTTCCTCTTCTTTGGCGTTTAACTCTTCCATCTGCTGCTGCTTTTCCTGAAACATGTGCATGATACATATATTACTAACAAAGAAGCACACTAACTGTAACAAGACAAATCTTCCATATGTCAATGTGTTCAGAGAAACCCTATCCTAGTCGTTTTTTAAAAGTAATCTGAGCAGAATCATCTCACAAACAAGAACACGTTACCTTCCTGAGCCTCTCCTCCACTCTCTCTTTCTTTATCTGTTCAAGTTCAGCCATAAGAGCTTCAGTGTCGTCCTCGTCATCATCGTCACTTTCATCATCACTAACAAAGAAAAGCAAATCGTAAGATACTTTTGAAAGAACTAGAGGCTGTGAGTAGATATAAAGCATAGCAAACTCGCCAAGATAAACGACAATCACGAGTTGAAAAAAACTCCACAAAATCTATCATAGCATCAACTGCATATTCCCCAAACTATGCCCCAGATGAAAAGTAAAGAGGTTCAGCTAGGCCTCTCGGTACAGCCCCAGTATAATACTCTTAGCCAAATTTAAAGCACAGCAAAAAAAAAAGAACTCCAAAAAGAGGTAGACAAGAATGGAAGAGATGAAAAATAGTACCTATCATCATCACTTTTGATATCAACATCAGAATCATCAGCATCTACACTGCGAGGAACAATTCGATCCTCAGGGTCCCTTTTAGAACCTAAATAAAGGACATCCACGTTAGAAGGCATGATCAAACTATATTCTGTGTCACAAACAAGAATCAAGTAAAAATGAATTTTCTCCAACCTTCCAGTAATAGCTGACTTCCTCTCCTGCGGTCTCTATCATCTAATGATAAAAGAATAGATCATTAGTACAGATGTAGTAAAAGAAAAAAAGGTAGAAGCTTAACAAAATTATTGTGAAAAGGCTTGAAATTTATCATTTTACTTACCACTGTAAGATTTGTCTTTGGATGAGAAATGTTTCCTCTCACGCTCTTCAAGCTCATCACGAAGATTTTTCTTCTGCAATTCCTCTTGAGTGTGTTGCCCTTCCCTCCTGCCAAACCAAAAAAGTTAAGAAAGGAGGACACGTTAATATATATCCCGTAAACAACGAGGCAGATGTAGGTAAATAGAAACCAAAATCTATCAAATGTCAAGCACAGATAAGTCCTAGAAAAATCAAATCTTTTACACAGCTGCATAATCTGTTACTCTTGATCCTCAAAACTACAATAGGAACCCAGTAACAAACAGGCCACGATACTAATCCATCTCAGCTAACCAAAGACAAAGTACACAAGCTTTTACCGAATCTCATTATAAAATACTCTTTATTGCAGTAAAACCCTAGATATCTGAAGAATCTCATCAATCAAAGATAAATTTCGATTGAATTCACATCAAATCGGATACGCGTCGAATCAAAGAAGAGAACCATTTTTCGAAACCTCACCTTGGCTTTAAAGTTGTGTGAGCGGCGACATCTCGGGACGAGTACTTCTGAGACGCGCCAAAGATCCGAGCACCACCCTGCTCGTTACCTCCCTTAGCAGGAGCCCACGTTGGCCTAGCTGCAGTCGTCATCTTCAGAAAAAGCCCTAATTCGCAATCAGAGAGACAATCGGCCAAAATCGAGATAAGGACGAGAGGACTCAGGCGCGTTACGAGAGAGACGAAGAAGAAGAAAAAAAAAAAGGGGCAGGAACTATATACTATATGGAAATTATATACGTGTATTACTAATCCTTTTTAAACCGACCTTAAGTACTGTTATTTTCCTTTTTGGCCTTTTTATCGACCTTAAGTTATTATTATTATTTTATTTTTTTGTAATACCTTTTCACTTAAAAGAATAAGTCAATGAAATGGCAATGTAAATCATCAAGAGTTTTGTCAAAAAAAAAATAGTAAAATACCAATCAAGGCTAATCCTGTTAAAAAAATATGCCAATCATCAAGACTTTCTTTAAAAAAGAAGAAGTTACCAACTTTTTCCACTCAATCCGGATATTATACAATCTAGAATAAACTTTACGTTTATTGAACTCTTTACAAAATTCCAAATCGCCGGTCGATCAACACCTTATTACGCTTCCTACTTTGGAACACAGTGACTTATTCTATCTATGAGTTGAGAGATTTTCACAATTACAAAAGTTGAAGCAGATTCCTCTAACACTTGACCAAACAAGTTTCTTTGGATCTCGTTTTTGACTTGTGCACTTCCTTTGCAGAGGGAAATGATTTGGCACACATTTTGGATTCTGCCAAGATCCTACTCGCTGCTTTACGCCGTCGTTTAAGCTCTGCGTCCACGACAACTGTGGCTTCTTTAGCCATCTCTGCTTTCTTCAAAGCATCTTGTGTTGCAGCTTTTATATCTTCAATCTCTCTCTCACTCATCTCTAGTTTCTTGAGTAGTTCATCTCTGCAAGCTCTTAATGCTTCCGTCTCAGTTAGTTCACCAACACTTTCTTTCACCTCAGCTACAACTCTTTCATCAGATTGTGGATCCAAAGTCTCTTGAACATTTAAGCGCTCCTTGCCGTGTTCCTCTGCAGGTTTTCCTTCTTCTTCAGCCTCGAATAGAGCAATCTTGAGCTCTTCTTCGAGCAGCAAGAGTTCGGTCTTTGCATCTTCGGCTTCTTTCTTCAGCTCCTCAATGGCTTGATCTGTTTCTCTCTGCTCATTCTCTTTAAGCTGTGAATGTTCTTTCTTCACGTTTTGAAGCTCGAGCTTAAGAGACTCCATTAACATGAACAATTCACTCTCCTCTTCAGCTACTCTATGAAGCGATTCCTTAGCAACGCCTAGCTCCGAAGTCACAACGCTCACATTACCACTCAAATCTAAAGCTTTCTCATTTCTCATATTCTGCCTAATTCCCAATTGACTCTCCTCCTCCTCAGCTACTCTTTGAAGCAATACCTTGGCAAAGCCTAGCTCCGAAGTCACAACTCTCACATTACTACTCAAATCTAAAGCTTCTTTATCATTTCTCATGTTCCTCCTAATCCCCAGCTTGTGATTGAGATGCTCAATCGTTTTCTTAGCTTCCTCAAGCTCTAACAAAGCCTCAGTCTTCGCCATATCAGCATTCTTTATTTTTTCTTTCAACTTGTTAATCTCTTTATTCCAGAAACAGAGATTTGTCTCTTCGGCCAAAACTCCCTGCAAGCTCAACCACATTTCAGAAAATCTGGTACAATATCACACCAAGAAATACAAATATGTTATGAAGTGAGAAAGAAACAAAAGGTAGTTTACCTGTTCTTGCCTATTGTTGAGATGTTTTCCTCCAGCGAAACCAGCATCCAAGAGTTTCACTGCATCTTTAACAGAATGAAAAGTAGCCATTTACTCCCGATAAAACACTGATCCTACAAGTTTAAGCTGGAAAATTTGTCAATGCCCTGAAGAGAAAGTATAGTGTTTTCGTGAGTAGATTAAACCATCAAGAAAAAAAAAACCAAGAAACTGTGTAACTCAACAATAATGGAAGGAGGAAAGAGGGCAGCTTTTTGTCTCTAATGTACAACCATGCTCACGTGTCACGCGTCCGTGCAAACGTTTTGCAAAGAGAGAGATGCCACAGACTCACGGGCCTCTAAACTTTTGTTTTTCTTTTTCTTTTTGAAGTTATCTCTGCAAAGCACGTGAAGTAACTCATCTAATTTCCTAGTTTATACAGAACGTAACACAAAGAGAGTTGCAAATTTTTTTACCATTTTGAAATGGAATTATGTAAAATGAGTATTAGGAAATTATGGAGAAAGAGACCCGAGCAGCCACCTGCAACTAGGTTACGAAATGAAATTTGGGGAAGAAGAACCGTTAAGGTAATTACGATTTTACCCAGAGGAAAACCCTCTTTCTTGTAAAGAAGGTTCGTTCTGGAAGTACGATAAAGTCTAGCTCCAGCAGTGAGCGAGCAGTTAAGAGCATCCATGGCGCAACTGCTCTCATTTCGCGTTTATCTCTCTGCCGAAACGCATAAAGCTTCTCCAGAGTCGTCTAAGCGAACCCAAAAGACTCGCAAACCGTTTTCTCCCGGTAAAAGAGGTAAATTTGTTATGTTTTGTTTCTTTGAGAAACAGAAAATTATTTGCAGTATCTACTCTGTTTCCGTCTTCAATCTCTCTTCTTTACTCGACAATTCTCTTAATACGCAGGTCCCGTGGCTCCGCCGCCGCCGAAACCTCAGAATCTGAATTTAGAGGTTTCCCCACATAGAGCTGGTAAAGTAATCCATTTCTTTAGTTACGAATTTGACACGCCACTATGTTACACTGACGATATATGTTGAATTAGAATCCTGACTTTTAGCTAGTATTTAGAAGTTTGGTCTTTTGGGGTCTTTGGATCGGTGTTGAGATATGAAAAAATTTGAGCTTTCCCAATATCTTATTAACACAGTTTCTGTTTGTGGAACTTACACAGTATCTGCAGTCAGATTGATGAGGATTGAGTTTGGTGGTGCGTTTGCTGATCTTTTGAACGAGAAAGGGAAAGGCTCTGGGAGCAATGAGATGAGTTACGTCGAAAGAACAATTGGGTTTCGAACTCGCGATTTGGATGACCGGGATCTTAGACTGGTTAGTGTCACCATTCCCATCTTTACTTAGTAGAAACCTTGAAGAAGACAGAAGACAACTACACTCAAAATACTTCTTACAATTAGTTATCTGCAAACAATTAGGTTACGGATGTTGTTGGAGGAACAATACGGTGGAGGAGGTATCTTGATCATTTGATTGGTTCCCTTTGCCACAACGAAAGAACTTTTCGAAATATGGAACCTCTCCTATTGCAGGTATCAGTTCCATTGTGAATTATTTCCTGTCGCAGTTAGGATTATAGTCAAGCTTTATTGTGCCTCTCAAACCTTTGTTCTCGGTTGCAGATTCTCCGCATTGGTTTCTATGAGATCATCAAGCTTGATATGCCACCCTATGCTGTTGTAGATGAGGTATCAACCCAGTCTTCTCTTGTTTATCGGCTGTGATATCACCCATTTTCTATTGGTTTTCTTTCTAAGTTTTACTCTATAGATGGGTCCAAAGGTAGATTTGGTCTTCAAGGATTTTGTCTGATGGTCTTTCTTCTATTTCTTATTTACAGAATGTAAGGCTTGCAAAGGTTGCCCTTAGGCCTGGTGCTGGAGATCTTGTCAATGGGATTCTTCGTAAGCTAGTCTCTCTTAAGGTTTCTCTTAGGCTTCTTTTCCATTTTTACTTTCCAGTCGAACTTAGCCATCAAAATTTAAGCTTATACGAATTCTGACGTAGGGATCTGCAGGAAAAAGACGCCCTTCCATTACCTAAAGTGGAAGGTGATGATCGTGCGCAAGCACGTGCACTTGCTACAATTCATTCACATCCCGTTGTGAGTTCTTATGGCTATAACCGCAAAAAAAAAAAAAACAAAAAATTGCGTGGTTTTATTATGATGCTAGAGCTATTTGATGGTGTGAAATTGAAACTTTGAACTTGTGAGGCTCCTAGATTACTTGGTCTTTAGCTGTGAGGATATTTACGTAGTGCTAAACAACCGTCCTGAGGCCTCATTTCTCATTTTTATTTCCTTTCTATACCCAGTGGATGGTTAGGCGATGGGTAAAGTATCTCGGGTTAGATGAAGCCACAAAGCTAATGACATGGAACAACAATGATCCTGGCTTTAGCTTAAGGTTTATCTCCAGAATTCATTTTGCTTTCACTGAAGGAAAAAAAAAAGCTATCTACTATAAGGCAGATAATATATTTTTTTTCTAATGATATTAGGGCCAATATGGGAAAGGACATTACAAGATCAGACCTTGTGGAGCGTCTAAACAGTTTAAAGGTATTTCTTCCTTTAATCTTTCACGTTCTTTTCGTATCCAAAGTGGAATCATTGTGTTTGTGTAAAAATAGGCACATGATTGTTTCTTTCAAATGCTTAGTTTTGGCTTTCCTTTGCTGCAGGTTCCACACGAGCTGTCCTTACATTTGGAGGAGTTTGTCCGTATTAAAACAGGCTTGCAGGTGTTTATAATCTCACCGGGAATCGTCCTCTTGTTTATAATATTCTGGAATTCTCGTTTCTTCTGGCTCCATTCCTTGCCTATTTTCTTATAGTTTTCGGTTAGAAATTGATCATTGACCTTTTCTTTAACAGAACGTTGTGCAAGCTGGCTTGCTCAAAGAAGGCATCTGTTCTGTTCAGGATGAGAGTGCAGGTCAGTTTTGACTTCATAGTTATATGGATTGCTCCTGAGAAAAAATACAGTTTGCTCTGCATAAATTTTTCGTGTTGTAAACAGTTATAAAGTTCTCCAAATTATTTTGTTCTTTTGATATCTAAATATTTCCCCATACTGGTACTACAGGACTAGTAGTCTCAGTGGTGAAACCTCAGCCAGGCGAGAGGATAATGGATGCATGTGCTGCTCCTGGAGGCAAGACCCTTTTCATGGCATCTTGCTTGAAAGGCCAAGGTAATATTACTGAGGCTCACTGTCATTATATCTCACCCTTTAGTGTACATCAATGTGGAATTAAACCATCTATTTTAAGTATGTTTCCTGTTATACTTGACTGATTCCATCCTCAAACTGGCAAACTCACATCGGTTATAGGTATGATATATGCTATGGATGTGAATGAAGGACGGCTAAGAATTCTTGGGGAGACAGCAAGATCACACCAAGTTGATGGAGTCATCACAACCATTCATTCCGATCTCCGTGTCTTCGCTGTAAGTTAACACTCATTAAGTGAACTTTCCAAGTTTGTAAGCTACTCACATGCTTGCTCTTCAACTCAATGTGTTTTAGGAAACGAAAGAGGTACAATATGATAAAGTATTGCTCGATGCCCCGTGTTCTGGATTAGGCGTCCTCTCCAAGGTTAACATGAGCACTTTTATCTAACTGTTTTCTCAGATATATTTTTCTTTGGCTAGTTGAATTGGTTCCCTGATCTGATTAACCTGTTCCCTTTTACTATGCGTTTTGTAGAGAGCGGATTTGCGCTGGAACCGTAAACTTGAGGACATGGAAGAGCTCACAAAACTACAGGATGAACTTTTTGATGCTGCCTCCAAGTATGCACTCCTTGTACATACTCGACTAATTGTGAAAAAACTAGCTAATACGCCACCTATCTGATACCTTTCTTTCTGTGTCCTGGACTAAATCCAAAGACTGGTGAAGCCCGGTGGGTTCTTGATATACAGTACTTGCTCTATAGACGCCGAAGAAAACCAAGGAAGGGTCGAAGCATTTCTCCTAAGACATCCTGTAAGAATTGTTATAATCCATTTGCTTTTGTTCAAATGTCTATAGTTACTAACTAGTGCCATTTCTGGTTTAACAGGAGTTCTCTGTAGATCCGGTAGACAAATTAGTACCATCAAGTTTTGTAACGCCGCAAGGCTTCTTTTTATCCAACCCAGTGAAACACTCCTTGGATGGAGCATTTGCAGCTCGTCTGGTTCGAGCCTTATGACCTTCAAAGCTTAAGCATAAGCAAGCTTCTTTTCTCTGCATCCAAGAACGCCAAAATTCTCAAGATCAAAGTGATCAGATTCATTAGAATAATCATTTTTGTCAAGAGTTATACTATATGGGCCGAAGGTGCCCACATCATGGTTTAGTCGGCCTAAATATAAAGCCGACCAAAATCAATCATGTAAAATGGACAAAATTTTATTGAACTGAAATATCTCTCTTATCATTACTTTATCTTGTACGATTTACACTATTTATGTCAGAAAATGTTACACTCTTTGACTTTTCCGACATTTTCATTTATAATTAAATAAAAAATGAACTTTATGTTTGCAAAATAAAATGTTGATGTAGAAATCAACTAATTTTCAAACGCAGTTTAAGTAAATAATTATACTTACTGTATATAGAGTCTATAGTCTATACCATGTAAAAAAATAAATTAAATTAACTTCAGATTTTGACGTTTTCCTTGTCAGCAGAGAATCTTTTCCTATTTCTTTATGTTTTCAGACACTAAAAGAGAGAAGTATCATATGAATGCTGCTTCCTCTCTCTCTTTCTCTTACATATCTATCTCTCTCTCTCGTGTTAAGTGTTAACACAAGGTCACAGATCTTGATCGGTGATTGGACATGGAGTTCCGAGAGAAGCTCCTAAAGTTCAAGTTCCACATCGTCTTCGCCTTCGTTTTCTCTCTCCTCACCGTCGCTCTCGTAACTTATTCTCCCGGTTTTCTCACCGTTTTATCTTACTTCTGGCCTCTATTTCTCTCCACCGCCCTCTTTCTCGCCGCCGTTTTCTTCTTCGTCCGCACCTCCGACCTTCCGACGTCATCTACCGTCTCCGGTGATGGCTCCGGCTTCAAAGTGGCTGCAGAAGGGATCCTTGACTATGTCGTCGGCGGACAACACGAAGACTCTCTCTTTGATAGCTTCACCAAACTCGACTAGTATGAGATCTCTCTGTTTTTAATTCCTTAAGTATTTTCGTTACTTTTTTTTTATTTCATAATAGGGAATATTTATAAGAGAATGTAATAGTTAACGTCGAATAAGAATAAATCTTGCTTTATTCTGTTTTTGTGATTCCTTTAATTTATGTTTCCATAGGCGCGAGACCTTTTTTGTTTTGTTTTTAGGCACCTTTCCCTTATGTTATACGTTACATAACTTACATTACATTGATAATTATATGATTTACTACTTTCAAAATCAATCAATTATTTTTTTTCTAAATGGCTACTGAGCTTAAAACCCGTGCCTTTATTTTAAAAATCTTCCTCAATAAAATCCAACCACCGACGCGACAGCCTTTTCATTTGTTTACTACTATAATGAAAGAAGACAATTTAAATGTTATCACTGGTGTATTTTAGTTAGATACAGGATATGCCTCTTCTATATCAGTACATTTTTTTTTTTTGGGTATCATCATAAATTCGTTCTCGGATATTAAAAATATGAATGTAGTATTCTCTTAGATTCTATCAAAATTTGGGTGATCTATCATAGAGATAGAGAAGGAAAGATTAAAATAATTGTATAGCATAGATTCGGACATTTTTTAGTACGTTCCTCACGTGCCCGAGCATATAACTCATGAATAAATATTGACCACTGAATCTAAATTATCCCTAGCTAATTTTAAATTTTGATGATATACAAGTGCTGAAGTGCATGGACGGTTGCAAATGATGACGTCAGCGCGGCAATAACAAACGCTGCGTAGTTCGCACACTCGTTTTTCATTCTGAGGGTAGTAAGTACAAACGGCACGTATGTTCTATTTTTAAGCTTACAACGGCAAGCATGTCGTAGCCTTTCCTCTTTCGTTTATATAAACCCATAAACTCGTCGCCGATTGCATTCTCGGTTTCGTACACGAATGAGATGGAGGGAAATTTTCAAATTTCAAAAACGACTAATTTGCTTCGAAGGATCAAAGGTAACAGAAATCCTAAATTGCACACTCAAAATTTCGAATCGTATGAGTAATTATCCTCTAGATTGACAATTTTATAGCCGATGATTTCGCTGGCTCTTCGTTGTTCACTACTTTTGTATTCGGTTTTGAGCAGACTTTACTCGATCGATCCTTGAAGATCTGGCCGAGGGACGATCTCCAATAATTTCCATCAATCGATTTAGGAACTATTGCATGAATCCAGAAGCGGATTGGTTTGTATCTTGTGGATCTCGATTTTTCAGTTTTCCCCTCGAATGCTTTTTTCTTATTTCTTCTATAAAGAGTGAAGTCACTAACAATTTGTAGTGATACTCATCGATTGTTTCTGTGTGATTTGAAGTCTTAATCTGTTTTTGACGCGCTTTCAAGGATCATTGCTTTGCGTGACCATGAATGACCTCATAAAATTTTACCATTGTCTACAGCTTTTGCAGCTCTGTTGAACCAAAAGGTCAGGAAATTCTCACCCTTAAGAAGGAATCCCAAACATACAGAATCGGTGAGTCTAGAATTCCACAAGTCCCGTAGTGTTATTATTGGTCAGAGTAATCAATATCACAGTATGTAATTTCGTGCGGTGTTTTATCTTCAGATATGTTGCTGAGAGTATTGTTGATAGTACAGCAACTTGTGCAAGAAAACAGGCATGCTTCCAAAAGAGATATCTACTATATGCACCCATCAGCATTCAAAGGTAAAGCTGAAAGTTAATAATTATCAATGTCTCTGATCAATTATTCTTGATATTCCCCCTTTCACACATTTTAGGGCAATCTAGTATGCTTGAATATGATTCTGTATCCCTCTTTCTGTATTCTTGGTCTTGGTCTTCCAGTAACACTGTTTGTGTCTGCTCCACAGCACAATCAGTTGTAGACCGCGCAATTGGTGACATATGCATCCTTTTCCAGTGTAGTCGGTACAACTTGAATGTGGTTAGTACTTGAATACTTTCACCGCGCAATTGAGTATCAGGATGTGATTACTATGTGACTCATGTGATATTTTGCAGGTTTCTGTAGGAAATGGGTGGGTACTCTTGATAACAATTACAGGGCTTATATCAATCGTGAGGCGTGTCCTCTTTTTGGGTTCTACCTCATCATTCTTTTGTGTTGTAGGTTGGTGATGGGCTGGTTAAAGTTTAGGGAATCTGGAAGGAAGTTTGATTGTTTAAACAGCCTGAATACTGTAAGGATTGGAACATAATATTCACGTTTCATGCTTGCATCAGGAGTTAATTACTCTGCAAATGATTTCGGTTTCAGGCATTTCCCGTTCCCGTTCTTGTAGAGGAAGTTGAAGGTATTCATATATACGAACAATATCTTCTTCTTCTTTTTTTGGCCTGCTGATTTTGGCTTTGGAAGGTTCTGACGTTTATGGTAAAATTCACATAGATAGCTGATATTGGCTTTGTCACTACTAGACAATCAATTTAATGCCCTCTAGGGAGGTCATATCATTATCTAAGCTGACAATATTGTGTTAGGAATGATAATTGTATGTCATCTTCTTGCTTGCAGATGTTGTTAGCTTAGCAGAGTACATACTGGTGGTGGAAAAAGAAACAGGTAAACCCTCTATCTACAAAGCAACCAGAAGATTCTTTTCTTTCTTCATGACTACCAACTGATCAGTCACTTCATCCATGGCATATAGTATTCCAGCGTTTAGCAAATGACATGTTTTGCAAGATGAATCGCTGCATCGTTATCACAGTAAGCACTGCAGATTATTCGTTTTTACTGCTTTCAGTTTTGACTAGATTTCCTTTCCGCTCCTTCCATTTTTTGGTTACACATCAAAGGTATGATTGTTTTTGGCAGGGAAGGGGCTATCCTGATGTCTCAACAAGAAGGTACATAACTTAATCCCATATCGTATCAGACATTCTCCTCTATTGACGAATATGTCAGCGAATGACGTAGATTCTTTCCAGGTTCTTGCGACTCCTCATGGAGAAGTTACAACTACCTGTGCATTGTCTAGTCGACTGTGATCCATATGGCTTTGAGATCCTAGCCACATACCGCTTTGGCTCCATGGTTAGATTCTGTTACATAATAGAGATGATGTAATTCGAAATATTTTACCATTTTTTGGTCGAAGTGATCCATATGGCCTTGACCCATTTCATTTAAACCATTTTCCTATGTCACACTTTTTGTCCTTCTGTAAGCAAATGGCCTATGATATCGAGTCGTTACGAGCACCAGATATGAAATGGTTGGGAGCTTTTCCTTCCGACTCTGAGATATACAGTGTTCCCCAACAGTGTCTTTTGCCTTTGACAGAAGAAGGTAAGATGATTAAACACCTGATCGTTTGAATTTTCGCTTTTTCAGTGCTTCCTTTCTTTGAAACCGGACAATTCTCACTCGCAGATAAGAAAAGAACTGAAGCAATGTTGCTTAGATGCTACCTGAAGCGTGAAATGCCACAATGGAGGTATCAACAAACTTCCATGTCTTTTTGTATTCACATTTCATCCAAAAGCGGAAAGAAATAGCTCTGACAAAAACGACTTGGTCGTCTAAAGGTTGGAACTTGAAACGATGCTGAAAAGAGGAGTGAAGTTTGAGATCGAAGCACTATCAGTTCAGTCACTGTCATTTCTGTCAGAGGTTTATATTCCTTCTAAGATTCGTAGTGAGGCAATTTCCCCTTGAGCTTTATACGAGTCTCCAACTCAAGGTATGTATGCTCATCGTCTTAAAGAGAAGTTTTAGTAACAAACAACAAATGCCTTCCGGATCGGATAGGTACATGGAAAGTTGGAAACTAAATAGCAATATTTCTAATTGATAATTGTAAAGAAAAATACAGATTTTCATAACACTCAATTATACAAAGTAATTTATAATGAGTTGTGTTTGACAAAACTACCACTTCCGGTTGATATTCTGAACTTTTTTTAAGGCAAAGTAATATAAGGTTCATTTTCTTTCTAATGTTGCAAACCTAATTTGAAGTCTTAAAAGCCATTCCCCTAAAACCTTTGAACACTCTCCGATCCAAAAAAGAAGAAAACCTTGCACACACCTAAAAATGACGTCGTCTCTCTCTCGTCTTCTCCTTCGTGGCACCATCAGTCTCAGCAGCCCCACGAACGGCCGCTTTTTCTCCGCCGTTACCGCTGCTGCAACCAAAACCTCGCAACGAAGACCGTCCCTCATCGACCTCGTAAATGACGAAAGCGACCCCAAATACATCACGGAGAAGTTCAAGAAAGCCTGCGAAGCGGAATGGTTCCGGAAGAATATAGGCGTCTATGAGAGAACCGTTCGCCGTCTAGCCGCAGCCAAGAAGTTTGAGTGGATCGAGGAGATCCTGGAGGAGCAGAATAAGTACCCAAACATGTCAAAGGAAGGATTCGTGGCGAGGATCATCAACCTCTACGGACGAGTCGGTATGTTTGAGAAGGCGCAAAAGGTGTTCGACGAAATGCCTGAGAGAAACTGCAAGAGATCAGTGTTGTCTTTCAACGCTTTGCTTAACGCCTGTGTGAACTGCAAGAAGTTTGATTTGGTTGAAGGTCTCTTCAAGGATTTGCCAGGTAAAATCTCGATCGAACCAGATATTGCGTCTTACAATACTTTGGTCAAGGGATTGTGTGGAAAGGGTTCTTTAACCGAAGCTATTGCGTTGATCGACGAGATTGAGAACAAGGGTCTGGAACCTGATCATTTCACCTACAACTTACTCTTACATGAGACGTATACAAAAGGGCACTTTGAGCAAGGAGAAGAGATATGGGCTAGAATGGTAGAGAAGAATGTTGCTAGAAGCATCCGTAGTTACAATGCTCGGTTGTTAGGATTAGCCTTGGAAATGAAATCGAAAGAGATGGTTGATCTCTTTGAGGAATATGAGGTTAATGGGATCGAACCGGATGTGTTCACATTCACTGCTCTGATTAGAGGATGTGCCAGTGAAGGAAAAGTGGAGGAAGCCAAAGCCTGGTACAAGGAAATCCAGAATAAAGGTTTTCGCCCGATGAAATTTATCTTTACAACATTGCTTCCTGCGATGTGTAAGGCAGGCGATCTAGAGTCTGCTTATGAGCTATGCAAGGAGGTATTCACTAAGCGTCTGCTTGTCGATGAGGCCGTCGTGCAGGAGGTAGTTGATGAACTTGTGAAAGGATCTAAGCAAAAAGAAGCTGAGGAGATTGTTGAACTGGCGATGAAGAATGACTATTTACAGTTCAAGCTACGTCTCTCATCCGAGTAGTAGTTTCATTTTGCGACTTTTGTTCTCTTTAATTAGTGTCTTGTTGCACCTGTCGTGATTGAATTACTGAACTATCTGTAGTTTTGTCTTTTGTCTTCGTGTGGCTGGCTTTATGAGAAGTTTCATTTTCCTTGAAAGAAAAACGCTAAAAGAAAAACGGCATGCAGTCGATTGGTATACACTTAAAAGAAAAACGCTACGTAGTCCCCACTGAGAACGGCACGCTGTTCGGTTTTTGTTAAACATTTCGAATTTCTTGCATAAGACCTAACCGGAGACATTCTTTTTCTCTGTCTAAATCCTTAAACCCTGCGCTCTCACATTTCTAGCTGAACGAAGCTATGAGCAAAGTGGGATCCTCGCTATACAGTCGCCTCCATGGAATCTTTAAACAATCTCCGATCAACACCGTTAAGCCCGCAAAAACAATAAGCCAAACCAAATCCAAAAAGTTCGTTAGTAAATCGAAGGAATCCAAAGCTTCTTCTGCTTCCGCCGTAGTGAAGTCCTCGAACGACGCCAAGGGAACGAAAGATACGAAATTGACGAAGAAAGTAGAGAAGTTCAAGAGAAGCTGCGAGTCGGAGAGTTTCCGGCAAGTGCATGGACTCTACAGTGCGTTTATCCGCCGTCTCAGGGAGGCGAAGAAATTCTCAGTGATCGACGAGGTTCTCCAGCACCAGAAGAAGTTCGAAGACATAAAGTCAGAAGATTTCGTTATCCGTATGATGCTTCTTTACGGGTACTCAGGAATGGCGGAGCATGCGCACAAGCTGTTCGATGAAATGCCTGAGCTAAACTGTGAACGAACCAACAAGTCTTTCAATGCGCTCCTCTCGGCTTATGTTAATTCGAGGAAGGTTGATGAGGCCATGAAGGCGTTCAAGGAGTTGCCAGAGAAGCTAGGTATTACTCCAGATCTTGTCACTTATAATACCATGATCAAGGCACTTTGCCTTAAAGGCTCGATGGATGATATAGTATCCATCTTCGAGGAGCTAGAGAAGAACGGGCTTGAGCCTGACCTGATCACTTTCAACACGCTTTTAGAAGAGTTTTATAGGAGGGATTTGCTTGCTGAAGGAGATAGGATTTGGGATCTGATGAAATCCAAGAATCTTGTTCCTAACATCAGGAGTTATAACTCAAGAGTGAGAGGTCTGACTCGGAACAAGAAGTTCACCGATGCAATTGACCTCATTGATGTTATGAAATCCGAGGGGATCTCTCCAGATGTTCATACATACAATGCTTTCATCACGAGTCACCGTGGTGATAACAACCTCGAGGAGGCTTTGAAATGGTACAGTGAGATGAAGGAGAAAGGTCTGACTCCTGATTCTGTGACTTACTGTATGTTGATCCCTCTCATCTGCAAGAAAGGTGATCTTGATACAACGGTTGAGATATCTGAAGAAGCCATAAGACACAAGGTCCTGTCTCGCCCAAACATGTTCAAACCCGTGATCACGCGTTTGATAAGTGAAGGCAAGATTGATGAAGCAACGCAGCTAGTGAAGGATGGGAAGTTACAGAGTTACTTTCGCCATCTACCAGAGTTGTCCACTGGTGAGAAGAAGACCTCTTCCAGTCCGGTCGAAGCCTGCTTGTTGGACGATGAAGAGAGTGCTTGATCAGTGTTTAGCAACTGTGTAAACGAATGCGTCATATTGGTGGTGACCTCCTATTTTGTTATCACTCGTTTAGATTTTTAAACCAGTGGCTCCACTTGCAAGGAAACATGGTTATATTGGTCTCTCTTGTGATTTTTTTGTTTCCAATTTATTTATAATTATGGAATTTCGCTTTCTGATTTAGTTGTAACAACAGATTTTATATCTTGAATAAAGTTTCTTTCATATTATGAAGATGAATATGCATATATATACCTCTCATTTCTTTCGCTTCATGTTTCCAAAATGGTAACAGCATCCATATGGGATTTACAAAATTTGCATAGTTTGTAAATAGGCATTATAATTCTAACTTATCCAGGTTGATAACTCTTAATTAGTCTGCATTCCTATCTTGCTATGATCTCAATATCTCATCCTGGTTGAGCTTTTGTTGCCTTTCCGCTCTTCTCTGTTTATTAGTTTTGCTCTGTTTTGCAATCAACTTTTTTTGCGTTTACGTTTAGTAAACGTAATGTTTCATCAAACATGGAAAATACATAAATATAGTATGTATGTGTATATCATAAATTTGCCATGATAACCATCAAATACAAGAGAACACAGATAAATGAATGATCTGCAGAGCCGTGCTGAGCACAGGTTAACGAAGCATGTGCTTCAGGGCCAGAGGAGTTAAATATTTTTTTGGGGCCAATTATCCAGAGTTTAAGTTAGTCTAATTAGTTTGTGAATGGGTGAAAACATGATTGGTTAGTGGTTTGCCTAGGTTCGATTCTTTCCAAGCGGATATCTATCATTTTTTTTTCCCGCCTGGTTTATTAGATCTTAAACAATCGCAGAAAGTAAAGGACACCACAAAACGGTAGTGAACCAACTTTAATAAATTAGGTTCATCAACAAAGTCATGTGTTGTATGACCATCAACCACTGAACCTGAACAAATATGAAGACACGTTGATAATGTTATCATCCAATGTTCATATTCAGGTGGATGGTGATCATACAACACATGCTTTGTGGGTGGTTTTAGACTTTGTTGATGAACCTAATTTACGTAGTTGGTATTTCATATCAAGAATAGGAGCTGGTGACGCAAACCTGAAAACAGTAGAAGAGGAATTAGGTTTCAAAATCATAGAGCTTCTGAAATATTCAAATATATATACATAAGGAAAAGATATAGGGAAGGCAAAATCTCGACAAATACGAATATTCTGTATTGGTTACTGGCGTTCGTGTATCTCTGTTACGATACTTTTGCTACCTTTGATATATATATTTTTTTTAATTAATGAGTGCTGTATATACGGAAGGATTCTTGTCAGTATTTATCAAAGATATCAAATGATATATTAATTTCCCTCCTACTCGCCCGTTGATAAACATTTTCGGAATACTAAATATCCTACAACGACGCAGTTTCAGGCAAGAATTCGTATCTTAGATTACGTCTTCGATCAAAAGAACAGATACACTTGCCTTAACCAAGAAACAATCTATATCAAAAATTATATTGACTTTGTTGTTAAACCAAGCAAACAAGCAAAAAGAAAACAAAAGGAAAAAATTCACTTGCTCCAATGGATTACTGTGTCGATGTGGTTAGCGAAATGAATACAGAAATCCATAGATTATGTACCTTTTTGTATGTTTTTTGTTCAATTGTTTCTTAATAGAAATGATGTTAATTACTATTGCAGAGCTGTGACATGAAAGTGAACAGAAGCTGCGCGCTTTGCCGACAAAAAGTGACGGAACTGATGCATTGTCTCGTCGGTCCGTACTTTTTTTTTGCTTCCAACTTTTTTCCTAAGTACGTAGTTGATGATTCATATGGATTCGAATCACTGTTAAAATCTGATGATTATTTTTATTATTTTTCAAATATTTTTGCAGCGGTATACTCTGTAGATTTCACGGGAGCAGACAACTCAATGAAGCTAAAGGCAAGAGGAAACCCTAACGCGATAATGTTTATCATGGACAAGTATGGAGAACACGGCAAGATCACCAATCTCCGTTTGGAAGGCGATCTTATCACCTCTCGCTCCGGAGGCGGTTTCAACAGTCAATCAGGCGGCTATTACCTTCCTTCTAACGCCGCCGCTAATTATCCATACATGACTTCTTCTCCGTACCCGTATCCGTATCCGCCTCCTCCGCCGCAGAGTTATTTCGCCGGGAACTGTGCTTACCCGATGTCGAATCAGCCGCCGCCGCAGCAGAAGACGGAGGCTCCACGGGGGATATATAAACAGCATACAGCGCCGCCGGATTTTACTCATCCGCCGCCACCGCCACGACCGTTATATAATTACGCTTACATAGAGCCGCCGTATTGGCCGACGAGTTCGTCGGATGGAGGTAAGTGCGTGATTATGTGATTTGAGGAAGAACAGTTTTGTGGTTTCTTCTTCTTAATTTGCCTCTAATCCGCGTTTTGGTTGTATTCCCGATCGCTGTTTTTTTTACTTGCGATTGCGTTGTAGACGTGATTTTTTTTTGTTTTTTTTTTAATAACAAGACAAGACGAATTGTTGAGTAATGCGTACTCTTTTACGTTAGCAGCATAAGCTTGCGATTATGGTTTCAACGCTTTTAGTGTTACGGTTTTTATTAGTACGTAAAGCTACGCAAATGTAATTAAAAATGGAGTCCATCTAAATGATTTTTTTTTAGGTGGGAGAGTATTCTGTGTTCATTTGAATGTTGATTGTTCATTTTGTTGAACGCTTGAGAACATAAAATGCCCGATCGATTTCAACGCTCGATGTGCGACCACATCAAATTATAAGGCACACAAGTAATTGATCCGATAACATCCTCTGTCGTCTCGAAGAAGCTCTTCAATATCTGATGTTAACTAGACCGGATCTTTTTAATGTTGTGCGTTATATACACATTTGTGCATATGATCCAAAAAGAGACTCATTTTCAAGCTATGATTATACTAAATCTAGAAGATATCTTCCGTAAATAGTTTGGTTGTATAAATACATTTAGTTCAAAGAATTTGATTTTTACTCAAAATAAGAATACCTACTTAAACAAATATTATTTCATACTCTTGTCACTTTTGTCAATGAATGATTGGATTTCTGGTGAAAGATAAAAAATGTGATCCCATTCGACTCTAATTTTTTATCTATTTTTTATAAATAAAAAAATAATATTCAATTATAGATTTTGGTTGGAGTAAGCCTAGAACAACATGGAGAATTTGTTTTTGTTCAATTGGAGAATATAATTCATGATTCCAAAAAGTGGCTTAGAGGTTAGAGGTTGATCCAAAGCTTGATATGGATGAGCAGAGAAAACTCGAAACCGTCGATTAGACCTTCCCCCAATTTTTTTTTCTTTTCGATCGGATAGTTTCGGACTTAAAACAGTAAATAATGAACTTTTAGCACTGATTAAATCTTCCAAGGTTAGTGATGAGTATTGGTTGTTGGGTGGGTTAAACAACTTCCCCGTAGACAACACTCCGTAGGGGCCCCAGGAACAAAGTAGTGATTACTTCTTACTTCAAGCTTGACCTCTCATTCTCCCATCATTTAATTTGCCTTTTGTGGTCGTCCATTTTCACTCCCATTAACACACTTCCACCAAAACAAAAATTATTTTTAAAAATCTCAGAACAACAAAAAAAATACAAAAGTTGAGAACAAATTTTTGCAGCTATAAACTCATAGCTTCCTTTTTAAATACTTGAAAACAATTACATCTATTTGCTTTTTGTACTCCACCGTTCCATATAAACTCAAACAATATCATTTATCTTTCCAGAAATTTCTGATTTGTTTTTAGACTTTATGAGTCTTGTAACAACTTTTGCGATTTTCTTGTCTTTCCTTTCCAACATCTTACGAATATTTTTATGGTCTGGCTTTAGCTTTGAACATTATTGAATTACTATTGAATACATGTATGTATTCAATTTGATCAATTTTCCTCTCAATATGAATTGGACCCACTTAATTAATTCTAATAGAGCTTGATTGTTATATATTATTATAACTTGATTGTTTTTGACTTTTTGTTTCTTTGTCCACTGATTGAGTTTACTGTTCTTCTCCACGTTTTCGGTGTTCCTTTATTTTTTAATTTGGATTTTGGTATGTGTAAATAGTTCCATGATTGATCCATACACTCTTATCATTCATTTATTGTGAGGTATTTTTGTGGCTTTTATTTATCTCTTACGCAGTTCGAACCAACCTAGATGTAAGATGATAACCAATTATAACTCGGAGATCTAGACCGAAACCTACACTAATATCTAAAATACATAAAAAACGGCCTGGATATTCTTGCTGTAAAAATAGATAAACACTGATCCATAATAAACACTGATTGATGAATGATACTAGGGATTAATACCATGATCATCCTTATGTACTTTTGAGGGTATTTTATCATTTATTTTAATAATAAATTGGGTTTAGAAACTCCGTACATTTATCCATACATTTACCCAATCTAATTAAACGTTGCCACTGAGACGCATATACGGTTTTTTATTGTTGCCAAATAAAAAACGTATCTATTTCATACTGATTAAAAAATTAGATTTTAATCATAAAAGACTCTTTTAGAGACCCCAATAATCCTGTTCTAAAAGGAGTGACTTGTTTAATTAGAATACTTTTGAATACCAAGCATGTTGTAATCAAAATCTCAAATAAATTTATAGCTTGAGATAAATTGACTCGTTTAATATAATCATCTCTTTTCGCTCTTATATTTAGTCATATATATATATGAACATAAGTGGACATGTTCTATTGTGTCAAAATCGTAAATAGTCTATTACTACTCAGATCTTTTCTTCTCTGTCATTTTCTTAGCTTAATCAATATAATCAAAAGAATAAACTATATGGTTCTGTAGTTGTAATCATATATAATATGAATCGAATACTTAATTTTAATTATCCAATATCCATCCACTTCAAATGTATCATCCTTCCTTGTTAGATATGCATGTAACATTAATTACAAAAGTCTTCTTTCTGGTTAGTTCATATTTTGTTGGTTTATTAGTTTGATCAACTGAAATTAGTCAAATCACATGGTTTCCCTTTAAATACCGACCTCAAGAGAGGACTAGAAAAAACATATAGATCATATAAAATAGAACGTGTTGCTAATATAGTTAAACCGTTTTGAGGGAAAAGTGAAAATCCAACGACTAGAAGATTCTAAACAAGGCTTCACAGTAACGTAACTCCATTTTGAAAATATCCAAGTAAATTATTAATTTTGAGACTGGTGAGTGGTGGTGATAGGTAGGATAGGAAAGTGGGAAATTGAAGAGAGAAAAAAAAGAAGAAGCATGGAGTCTAAAACTAAAAGCGAAGAGGAGAGAATCTATTGAGTCTTTAAAGCAAACTTATATCCGCTTTTTAATATAGATTCGATTATTCGTTGATCATTGTTCCACTATTTTGCATATGAATATATAGATGGATCATGGGATTGTATGCTATGCACACACAATGACACGATTAATCCTTTTGACGTAGCGTAACATTATTGATTGTAAATTGTTATGAGTCTAAAGTATCTAAAGTTATTGTTTTAGGGTTCGATACTACCATAAAATTTTCAAAAAAAAATTGTAACACTTATATATGTTTACCAGATGCATGGCTATAGTAACATAATGGTTAGATGTTCGCATAATTTACAGATTCACACGATTCAAGCTTCAGAATTTGGCACCAGCTGTTTTGAAAAAAAGACTGTACCGCATTTTAATTTTCCTTTCATGTTTCATGTCGATCGATCCAAAAAGTCTACAGATCAAGAAAATCAAACATTTCAATAAACAATCAACTGAACAAGAAATCAGAAATGAATTAATCCATCAAATATATCATACTATATATGTTTTTAAGTTGAAAATCATTATATGCATAGGTACACGTGTGCGTAGCAGCATTATTTCCGAGACCATCTGGTGCAGACGACAACACATAGCTAAAAATATACAATAGTATATCAGTCTAGGCTATAGAATTAATAATAGAGATCGATATGATATGTGTATGTACTATTTATGTGTGCATAGTCCTAGGTTAATCATGAATCGTACTACATTGTTCTCGAATTTTCTTCCATGCATTTTCTTACGAGCTTCGTTCGTTCTTGCTTAATATAAAGAGTATTACCACCAAATGACCTGATTTGTTTTTTTATCTGCAACATCGACGGATGACATTTCCTTAAATATTGTGATCTAATTATCGTGCATATATATATATATATATATATATATATATATTTATTATATGCATAGTCTTGTGCATATAATGATCACAATATTTTAAAAATGTTTTAATAGATGTATGTACGTTGTTTTGAACAATTATGTGCGCTAAAACATATCACTTATTTTACGACGATGTCACTGGTCTTTTCTGAAAATTATGTATAGCTTACTTATTTTACTAGATAACAAATTCATCATAGTAGAAATTAAAAGTTTGATGGGGAGGGACTTTTAAAATAAATAGAGATTAAAAAGAAAAAGAGAGGAAGCTTCCATTAAAAAGAGATGCTCAAAGTAGAAATGATACTAAGAAGAGGCTAGAAAACTCGCTCTATATGTGAGCTTACTACGTGCGCTTAAACTTAAAACAAAACTAACTCATCAGAAATCAAACAAGAACTAAATGCCGTTTAGCTTCGATTCTAAGCTCTTCCTTCATCTTTCTAATGAACTCATCGAATTTCTTGTTCATCTCTTCCTCGGTTACCACTCCCAGATTATCTTCATCTTCTCTAGATCCGCCAGGAATATCACAGTCTTCTTCTAGATCGCCATTATTTGTTAATGGCTCATCATATTCTTCTTCTTCTTCTTCTTTCTCTACTTCTTCGATTTCTTGATCTTTTGTACTAACTTCCTCTGCAAGAAAGGACTCTGTTCCTCCTCCATGAACAGAGCAATCCTCTAGCTCCAATATCGCATTGTAACTATCAAAATCTCGGTAAACAAAGGTGTTATTGGTCTTACTTATTTCCTCTAATGGTTTTGACGAAGCGATCAAACCAGGGTACTTAGCGACAAGCACTAAGAGACCATTGCAGAGGAGAAACATGTACTTCTTATCTACTGCGTGTGTAATGAGTTGAATTGTGAATCTGGATAAATCGAATTTGTGAGTGGTTAAAAGAGCTAAAACCCATATGGAAACTATTATAAACTTCGTCAATTTCTTCAGTAACTCCGGTTTCATTTGATCCATCTCTCGGATTTTTTCTTTGCTTTAGTGAGTGAATAGAACGATAAAAGATAAGAAGAAGAAAACGGAATGAGGAGCTTAAGTGTGAATTATGACTTAATTGTTTGTGCAAAGGCGTACACTTCACACTCAACGGTGTTTGGTATTTAGAGAAGTTATTGGGAAATTTATGCCAATGGGAATCTGAGATTGATTTTACTAAACTGCCCCTTTTGTTCTGAACCTGCATGCGACGTGTTTGTTAATGGTTGATTTTCTCTGCTCCTCACTTTTTTGTCAGCTAATCTTGTTTCCTTTTGGCAAATTATTGGTTTATTTTAGTTTTTATGGAAATGATTTTCTTTTGAATGTTTCTAAACTTGCCATTTTTGTTATACGTTTTGATATGATTTCAGTTATTTATTTTGTCAACGACATGCAATATACATATATATATATATATATTTAAATTTAGGGTGATAACCAAAATATTATATAATTTTTGTAACATTAATAGAGATGCTACTTAATTAAGTCGCGTTATGTTACCAGATAAATTTAAATCTGGCCAGATACATGTTCTTGAAAAAAAATCGTAAGTAATGAATATAGATATGAATCATATGATAATTAATGTTTATAACAAATTCAAACAGAATAGAATAGAAGCGGCTTCAAGGGATGATTGGTCTTTCGATGGTGAGAGCGTATGGTGTGGAGTGTGGACTATACTTTTTTGAAGAAGTCATTGTCTTTAAGTTTTTTTCCTTTTTTTGGTATAAGTCATTGTCTTTAAATTGCATGGCGACATATATCATTATTGTTAGGCTTAAATTTATATTTTTCTTGATATATAAATTTTAGAATTAAGAATTAAGAAACTAAGATAAGAAGATCGACTATAATCACAATATGTCAAAAAATCAAAACTAAGAAGATCTACGTACTCTTTAAAGTTTAAATCGATCAGATCGATATGTAGCATATACAAGATATTCGAATTACTAAGTATGTAATCAACTACTCATACACCTCCGGAAATCCATATCCACAAGCATAAAAGGTCAGAAAACATAACTTAGAATATCCCAATTTATTTCCCTTGTTGTCTTTTGGATTTATATTAAGATTGTTTTTTTTTTGCTTATTAATCTCTTATCGATTGTATATCCATGATTTCACCGTCACGTTTCATTTTTTCCACAATCATTGCGTATTACATGGTTTTTTTGTTTGTCAAGTAGCTATTTCAATTCTTACTTTTTTCGCCGTTTGTACGTTTCAAGAAGTTTTGCGAGTTGAAATTTCAAAGATATTTTGGGGAAACAAAGAATCTTCTAAAGATTTAGAATTCACCTGAAGTAAAAGACCCAAGGATCTTTAAACTAAAAAATAACCGAAAGAGAATGGACTATTGATAGTTTGTTAGGTTAGCATATTCAGGTCCGAAAAGAAAATTTAAGATAACAAAAGGAATACCTTTTAGTATCTTGATTTTATATATTTATATGACGACATGAATACTTTGTTGGGTTCTCTGTTTGGGGTTTTTTATTTTTGCTTTAAGGGTTGTTAAATAAGTTGCTTGCAATATTGTAAAAGAAAATCTGAAAATGGTATAGATCTTTACATTTAGACCCCAAAAAAAAAAGAAGGTATTCATGTCGTAAACTTTTCTTTCAGTGATTGGAGAAAGTTGAGAATCCGAACGACCCAGTATTCGGTGTGAATAAACCTTTGCATTGGGCCAAATGGTTATTTATAAGAGTGGGCCTTTTTGTTTATTAAGTGGGCTTTAATTAAATAATTCTCTCATAAAAAAAAAAAAGACAGAAAAAGGTTTTGGATAATGGGATAACCCTCCAAACGAAGCTGCGGAAGAGGAAACTACATCCTTCGAGCGTGAAGAGGAGGAGGAAGAAGAGAAATCGATTCTTTGTCTGCAAATTCCATGGCGGTTTCAAGTGTATCGTCGTTCCTGTTGCCCTCCTTCGCCATTCCAACCTCTTCGGCTTCTCCTAACAGACTGAAAGTCTCTCTGCTTCCGTCTTCTACCCATGGCGGCCTTAATTCATGCGTCGTCAAGAAACCATCCATCTCGTTTACGAAGGTCTTCGCGACTGCTGAAACCTTAGATTCAGTTCCCGAAACTATCGATGAACCCACCTCTGAGGAATACTCCGAGGTACACTTTTTCCTCTCACTGTCTCATTTTCTACTGTGTCTGCTAGATTTATTCGATCCTTTTTGGTTCAGTGTTTGTTCTGTTTACATAATCTATTCGTATCTGTGTGATTCAGGTTCCGAGCTCTTCCTCGATCAGTGTAGACGCGGATAAGGTACATTCCATTGCCGTTAGACCTCACTACTAGAAATTGATACAATAGGCATATTTTTCCAACGATTTGTTCAAAGTTGCTGTTCTATGTCCATCTTCGTCAAAATCAATTGACTTTTTTTTTGTTTAAGTTTTACATCACTGGAAAGTCTCATATGTGTTTACTATAGTCCCGTTGATTAGTAAGAAATGCCTTTTAAGTAGATGGATTTGCTTACTACTATCATCGTCCTCAAAGTATATAATGAAAAAGAGAAGAATGAAAGTGATCACATTTAGATGGGAAATGCTACTGAGATTGAAATATTTGCCACACCAGAGTTTTGTTTCTGGAGGTTTTGTGGAGTTTCTTTGTTATTGGTTAAGTTGATTTGTTTTCTCCTAAGCAGATGGCGCCAAAGCAAAAGATTAGGATCAAGCTTAGATCGTACTGGGTGCCTCTTATTGAGGATTCTTGCAAGCAGATACTTGACGCTGCAAGAAATACAAACGCAAAGACGATGGGTCCTGTTCCGTTGCCGACCAAGAAGCGTATCTACTGTGTTCTCAAGTCTCCTCACGTTCACAAGGATGCGAGGTTCCACTTTGAAATCCGGACACACCAGCGGATGATCGACATTCTCTACCCGACTGCTCAAACCATTGATTCGTTGATGCAACTTGATCTTCCTGCTGGTGTTGATGTGGAGGTGAAGCTTTGAAGAACAAGCGTAACGAAACTGGTAAAAATGAAAGCTCTTTCCTCTTCCTGTATGCTGAATAGATCCTCAAACTGATGTATCTAGTTAGAGATACTGCTTCCTTTTTTAATCCTCCTGTTTGAAATTCTGCACATTGGCTCCAACTCAAGCTTGTGGATCTTGATACTTGTTCTTGACCAAAGTTTTTCTTCCTCTTAGGTGATGTGCACTTGCATTGCATGAACAAACTGTTTCAAATCAACCACATTGCTTTAGAATTGGTAAGCCATGTATCATCCTTTTGAGAGCCTCTGTAATGAAAATGTAATTGTCTTCTCTGGTCCTAGCAAAGTTGAAATCTTTAGTCAATCTTGTTCTTAGTTGATGAACAAATCCGCAAGTTCAAAGGAATATTTTTTTTTTTCTGTGTGGTTACTAATTGTTTTGCTGTCGCTGTCATACTTAAGTAATCTTCCATTTTTGTATTTTAGTGGAATCTTATTTGAATATAAGTATGAATATAATTGAGAAAGATACTATACAACTTGAGTCTTAAAAAATCAGGAAGTTAGAATCTTGAAAGCAACTGCATTATATGATTAATGTGCAAGTTTATCCACAAATTTAGAAAGGGATTTCCAGTGCCTTGCTAATTTGGCATTAAGCATTAATATTCCACTACCCTATATTTAACTCGAAGAATATTGTTTCGCACGAACAATCAGACTTACAAATATATGGCTATTTTAATAAAAAATGGATTGATTTTGTTCTAGTTATTAAGTGATTCATCTCACTAGGATTATCTCTTGAACCAAAAAAAAAGAATGGTCGCCAGATTTGAAATTATTATAATTAAGTAGATGAGACAATGATGGGCCTGTTTATAATAGTCACTAAAGTTGAGGCATATTCCCACGATATACCAACATGGACCGTCCTATTTTTTTTTTTTAATGTTTATTGTAAATGTTTATTGAAGATGTTCGATTGAAAGTATATTACTTTTTGAAACAATATTATTGAAATAAATACAACTCCTGCATCAATAATTTTCTATTTTACGAGAAACATATTCTATAATATAAAAAAATCTCAAAGTAGTGCCCTTTTGGTCTTTGCATAAGATCTACTAACTAGTCGAATCATATTTGCATCAACAATATGATTAAAGTTTGATTCATTTTGACTAGACTTCCAAATTGTAATCTACTCATGTTTACATTGAAGTATAAACTGTTTTGCCTTTGCGTTTACAATTTGCATACCAAAGTACTCAATTTGGATTGAACACACGTGATGATGATGCGATGATAACAATTAATATGAACCATCTATATAGATAAAAATACATTACGGTATAATATTTAATAAATTATACGAGTTAACATCCCCGACTTATGATTTACCAAACGCTACACTAGAAGCATCAAATAAACAGGGTTGTGTGTTTTCAACACTCGAAAAGACGATCGTTTGAATGGCTGAAAATGAAAGAAAACAAAATATACTCCTATGACAAAAAAAAAAACTTAAGCTCCATTTTTCTTTCTTTTGGTTTTATCAAAGTATCTTGAGACTCATGACTGTCGGAAAATAATTGGAGGGGTCCTCATTGACGTGCCCTTTTATTAGGCTTTTATAATAGTTTTGCGTATTTTATTACAATTTTCTAAAAAAATACCTTTGTGTTGTTGTTACTTGTTTACGATGGCAATTAACCAAAGTATTTTTTCTTAAATCCACTAACTAACAATTGATTCTAAACATAGTTATATTTTCCCATCATCTCAGTCGGATATAATTTACTTGGCATAATAGGCTAATATATTTGTTTAACAAATAATTAACGAATGTCATTTTAAAGTCAAAGGTTATATTAATTAGAACATTTATGAGTTAATCAATTGGATAGAGAGGGAGAGGGAGAGAGATGATTAAATTCAGCTGACACTTGGCTTGAAGAGGATGATGGCTTCACGGATCAGTAGACAAACTAAGTAATGTCATTACATACGTCACTTTTTTTTCCTTTCATAAATTTTCACCTTTCTTCTTATTTATTTTTATTTTATTTTGAACAAACTGAAAGTTGGTTCAAATACAAAAGTCTATGTGTCTAGCAAAAAAAAGGATATTATATTGTCGACAAAAAAGGATATTATATTTTATTATATATATATATATAATATATATCTAGATGAGTGAAAAAAAATTACGCATGTAAACAAAAACTAGGCGTCACAGAAAAGAAAATTTGATGATGAGATTCACTCCGCAAAAGAATATATTTATTTTCACAAAACAAAAAGAATATATATTTATTCAAAAAAACTCTGACCACGATATATAAAAAACATGTGATTTATTACGACCGTCTGTCCTGTCGACATACATATATGTTCGGTGTTCTTGAATTTTGATAGATTCCATAGCAGAAGAAAAAAATGGAAATTTTGCCATAACGCTTACGTAAAAATAAATCACACACACACACACACTTTTAAAATCCCGTTACTTATATATGGCCTTTTAACCAAATTTTTTTATTAAAATATTAACTTATTACAAAAAAAATTATTCAGTTACATGAGATGAAGGAACAAGAAAGGTAAAAATGTTGTAGTAAAAAAAAAAATGTTGTAGTAAACGTAACTTTTTGCCACCTAGTCCCAGTGGCCAGTGTAGACTGTAGTCATTTTAATGAAGAAAGAAATTTTAGGAATCGAATTTAAAAGGAAAGAAATCTGGGGAGAGAGAGAGAGAGTCCAAAAAATATAAATTGTTTACATCCTTTCGTTTTGGTTCATATTAAAGAAGAAAAAAAAAAGAAAAGAGTTTTCCCGAGAAAATTTCCAATGTTCCCGGTCACAAGTCGCCGCCACTTCTCATTCTCCCTATATATGCTCCGTTCATCTTCTCCACACAACCATGTTCTCTACTCTTCCTCTTTCCTCCCTTCATTTGTCTCATCCAAATCATCTTCAACCAAAGATAACCTAGAAACCTCTTCTCCTCCAATGGCGGCGTGCATCGACACGTGCCGAACCGGCAAACCTCAGATTTCTCCTCGCAATTCTTCCAGGTCTCACGACGATGAATCCGGTTTCCGTTACATGAACTACTACCGCTCCGGTTACCCGGATCGATCTCCGATCAACGTGACCCAGACCAGAACCCTCCACACCCGCCCGCTCCTTGAAGATCTCGATCGAGACGCCGAAATCGACGACGTCTGGGCCAAAATTCGACAAGAAGCCAAATCTGATATCGAGAGAGAACCCATCGTCTCCGGCTATTATCAAGCCTCGATTGTCTCCCAGCGCTCGTTGGAGGCCGCGCTGGCTAATACTCTCTCCGTTAAACTCAGCAATTTGAACCTTCCCAGCAACACTCTGTTCGATTTGTTCACCGGCGTTCTCGAAGAACACCCCGAAATCGTTGAATCGGTAAAGCAAGATCTTTTAGCGGTCAAGGAAAGAGACCCAGCTTGCATAAGCTACGTCCATTGTTTCCTACACTTTAAAGGCTTCCTCGCTTGCCAAGCGCATCGAATCGCTCACGAGCTCTGGACCCAGAACCGAAAAATCCTGGCTTTATTGATCCAGAACAGAGTATCTGAGGCTTTTGCCGTTGATTTCCATCCTGGGGCTAAAATCGGAACTGGGATTTTGCTCGACCACGCTACGGCCATCGTGATCGGCGAGACGGCGGTGGTTGGGAACAACGTTTCGATTCTTCACAACGTTACGCTCGGAGGAACGGGGAAACAGTGTGGAGATAGGCATCCGAAGATCGGCGATGGGGTCTTGATTGGAGCTGGGACTTGTATTTTGGGGAATATTACGATTGGAGAAGGAGCCAAGATCGGCGCCGGGTCGGTGGTGTTGAAGGATGTGCCGCCGCGCACGACGGCTGTTGGAAATCCGGCGAGATTGCTTGGTGGCAAAGATAATCCGAAAAAGCACGACAAGATTCCTGGTCTGACCATGGACCAGACATCGCATATATCCGAGTGGTCGGATTATGTAATTTGAAAAAAGTCTCTGTTTTTGTTGTTTATTGCTTCTCATCGGCTTCTCCTGTTATCGAAGCTGTAGAACATATGATATGCGATGGCTAGTGCATGCTGTTTCTATTAATCAGATCATTTGTCTCTCTATAAAGATAGTCTGATTAAGATGGGATTTTAAGTTAAACTCGGAAACTCTAAACGATGTGTAGTGGAGTTTCCTGTGGTTGGTTTCTGATTATCAGAGACTTGAGATATGTTTAGTACGTAAGTGTTATTTGGTAAAACCATGATCTCTGTGATCACACTATTAAGCGTAAAATTTTATCATCCTCGTGAGTTTTGTTTTGCTTATTACAGCCATTTAGGAGATGACAAAAAGACCACTCAGGATCCAGGAATGCTTGCTACAATCATTTAGAACCTACCTATTCTTTTGTAAGTAATCATTTTTTTCTGTTAAAACTTGTAGAAAAAGCGGTAGCACAACGACAGAGCCAGGTCCTCGTAATTTCCTAATGGGTTTGGATAGGATGTATATTTTTTCCATGAGACCAGAGGTCTTGGTCTTGGTTTGTTTCGGTGTAGTTTCCGAATATTGTGCTTATTTTTCATAGAAAATACACAAGAATTTCTGCGAACATGAGTTTAAGCATAAAAAAAAAGTTCATGTGTAGACGTTGAGGCGTCAAGGAAGTATATTTTATTCTCCATTGAAGGAAATTGTCTTGGAAATAATATATATATTGACGCAGTTGTTTATTTATATAGTCCATCGTGAGAGACTTGAACATTTTTTCTCGTATCCATTGCCAAACGAAAGTATGAAACAGATAAATGCAATGGACAATTCTATCAGTTTTCTCCTCCTTGAGTCCATCTACTTTCCAGTGTTCTCCATTTTCTTGAATCTGCTTTTGTTGCTAATTATGTCTGGTTCCTGGGTTTGCAAAAAAAGGGTGGCTGGTGAAAATAGCAATGGTTTCACGAATGAGAGGGTTAAGAATATGTCTTTAACGTACAATAAACTGGTAGTTATATGTTGTGGGACTTTGTCTGCCTTGTATTCTGTGTTGTTGCTGTTAAGTTGCTTCCACCTGCATACAAATGGTTGGGATCTCAGCGAACTGATGAATCTCTTAGATCTTCTGTTTGCAGCCCTTTCTTGGGGTGCCATCTCTTTGTACCTGCGTGGTCTTTCCTCCGATTCTCAGGATCAAAAGTTTCCTTTTTTGCTTAGAGTCTGGTGGGTTTTTTATCTCATGGTTTCTTGCTACCGTCTTTTGGTAGACATTGATGTATACAAAAAGCACAAGCTGGAGTCCGTTCACCTTTTATTGTCTGATGTAGTGGCCATTAGCGTGGGGTTGTTTCTCTGCTATTCATGTTTGCAGAAGCAAGGAGAAGGTGAAAGGATCAACCAACTCGAAGAACCCCTCTTGAATGGAGCTGAATCTAGCGTGGCTACTAGTGTGCAGTATAAGGCCGAAGGGGATGATGAGGTTGTTACACCTTTTTCTAACGCTGGGTTTCTAAGCCATGTGAGTTTCTCTTGGATGAGTTCTTTGATTGCCTTGGGAAATGAGAAAATCATTGACAGCAAAGATGTTCCTCAAGTTGACAGTAGTGACAGAGCTGAGAAACTATTTTGGATATTTAGGAGCAAGCTTGATTGGGACGATGGTGAAAGAAGGATAACCTCGTTTAAGCTTATCAAGGCACTCTTCTTTTCAGTGTGGCGAGATATTGTCTTGTCAACTCTGTTTGCTTTTGTCTACACGGTATCTTGTTATGTTGCGCCGTATCTCATGGATACTTTCGTCCAGTACTTGAACGGTAACAGACAATATTCAAACGAAGGGTTTGTTTTAGTGACAACTTTCTTTGTTGCTAAGCTTGTGGAATGCCAAGCGCGGAGGAATTGGTACTTCAGGTTGCAAAAAGCTGGGATTAGCATGAGATCGGTCTTGGTTTCGATGATCTACGAAAAGGGCTTGACCCTTCCCTGTCACTCGAAGCAAGGACACACTACTGGCGAGATTATAAATCTCATGACCGTTGATGCTGAGAGAATCAGTGCTTTTAGTTGGTATATGCATGATCCATGGATACTTGTCTTACAAATAAGTTTAGCCTTGGTGATCTTGTACAGAAGCCTTGGGCTAGGATCAATTGCAGCTTTTGCTGCAACCTTTTTAGTTATGCTGGGAAATTTTCCTCTGGCAAAGTTGGAAGAGAATTTTCAAGGAAATTTAATGGAGGCCAAAGATAACAGGATGAAGAAAACATCGGAGGTGTTGCTGAACATGAGGATTCTTAAACTTCAGGGCTGGGAGATGAAGTTCCTTTCTAAGATTCTTGACTTTAGACGCATTGAAGCAAGCTGGCTCAAGAAGTTCGTGTATAATTCGGCGGCTATTAGCTCTGTTTTGTGGGCTGCACCGTCTTTCGTGTCGGCAACAGCTTTTGGCGCTTGTATGCTTCTGAAGATCCCTCTTGAATCGGGAAAGATACTAGCGGCTCTTGCAACTTTTCGAATTCTGCAAACTCCAATCTACAAACTTCCGGACACAATCTCGATGATTGTTCAGACAAAGGTATCCCTTGACAGGATTGCATCTTTTCTTTGTCTTGATGATTTGCAGCAAGATGTTGTGGAGAGACTTCCTAGTGGAAGTTCAAAAATGGATGTGGAAGTCAGCAATGGTGCTTTCTCTTGGGATGAATCTTCCCCCATCCCGACGCTGAGAGACATAAGTTTCAAGATCCCTCATGGGAAGAACATCGCTATATGTGGTACCGTTGGTTCAGGGAAATCAAGCTTACTCTCATCCATACTTGGTGAAGTTCCTAAAGTATCTGGAGATCTTAAGGTTTGTGGAAGAAAGGCATACATTGCACAGTCGCCTTGGATCCAGAGTGGTAAAGTCGAAGAGAATATTCTGTTTGGTAAGCCAATGCAAAGAGAATGGTACGAGAGGGTGCTTGAAGCGTGCTCTTTGAATAAGGACTTGGAGGTACTTCCTTTCCGTGATCAGACGGTTATTGGGGAAAGAGGTATCAATCTAAGTGGTGGACAGAAGCAACGGATACAAATTGCACGTGCTTTATACCAAGACGCAGATATCTATCTGTTTGATGACCCTTTTAGTGCAGTAGATGCTCACACTGGATCACATCTCTTCAAGGTAAAAATCGTTTTCTGCTCTTTCTAATTATCTTGACTTGAACATAACCTTATATATCATCTACTTTATGCTATCTTGTGCTACACATTGTGATATGATCTTTACGGTAATCGTTCTGTGTAACAGGAAGTCCTGCAGGGGCTTCTGAGAAACAAGACAGTCATATACGTCACTCATCAACTCGAATTCCTTCCTGAAGCTGATCTTATACTGGTTTGGGACTTGTTCACTTTACTAACTTTCCAATTGATTACCTAACCACATATGTATGATATCGTATAATAATTTTGGTAGGTCATGAAAGATGGGAAGATCACACAAGCGGGAAAGTACAATGAAATTCTTGTTTCAGGAACCGATTTCATGGAACTTGTAGGAGCTCACACTGACGCATTAGCAGCAGTTGATTCATTTGAAAAACGATCTGATTCAGCACAATCAACTACAAGCAAAGAAAACAAAAAGTCCAACGATGAAGAAAAACTAGAGGAAGATTTGGCTACCTCGAAAGGACAACTAGTTCAAGAAGAAGAGAGGGAGAAAGGCAAAGTTGGGTTCACTGTATACCAAAAGTATATGGCACTGGCGTATGGAGGAGCACTTGTGCCTATTATATTGGTCGTGCAAATTCTCTTTCAGATTCTAAACATAGGGAGCAACTATTGGATGGCTTGGGTGACTCCTGTTTCCAAGGATGTGGAACCTCCAGTGAGCGGCTTCACATTGATTCTAGTCTATGTACTTCTAGCCGTCGCGAGCTCCTTCTGCATACTCGTCAGAGCATTGCTGGTTGCTATGACTGGTTTCAAGATGGCTACTGAACTCTTCACCCAAATGCATCTCCGCATTTTTCGTGCTTCCATGTCATTCTTTGATGCAACACCAATCGGGCGAATTTTGAATAGAGTAAGAACTATCTATGCTTACTTACTCAGTATGTAATGACAATATCGAAAGCGGATCCTGTGAACTCCTTTCCTGATTACTCTGGTTTCAATCTTGGTTTTAGGCTTCTACAGATCAAAGTGCTGCGGATTTGAGATTACCGGGTCAATTTGCATATGTTGCTATTGCTGCTATTAACATTTTGGGGATTATCGGAGTGATGGTACAGGTCGCTTGGCAGGTCCTTATCATCTTCATCCCTGTCGTCGCTGCATGTGCCTGGTACCGGGTATTTTTTATAATCCTGAATGTCCTAAACCAACGTTTTGCTCCTTTCTTATTGATATGAATCAAACTAAATAAGTTTCTTGTGATTTTCACTTATTCTTATTGGGTTAATCTATGTACACAGCAATATTACATATCTGCGGCTCGGGAACTTGCGAGATTAGCTGGAATAAGCAGGTCGCCTTTGGTACAACATTTTTCAGAAACACTTTCAGGGATATCAACTATCAGGAGCTTTGATCAAGAATCAAGATTCCGCAGTGACATCATGAGACTCAGCGATTGTTTTTCTCGGCTCAAGTTCCATTCCGTTGGTGCAATGGAATGGCTCTGCTTCCGCCTTGAGTTATTATCCACTATCGCATTTGCGTTTTCACTTGTTATCATGGTTTCTGCGCCTGAAGGACTCATTAATCCAAGTAAGTCACCACCCTTTTCATCACTGCTTTGTTTTTTTTTTTGTCACTACTAAAATTTCTCTGTATTCTGCTTCTTAAAGGTTTTGCAGGATTAGCCGTTACATATGCACTCAATCTAAATAGCCTGCAATCAACTTTAATATGGACACTTTGCGATCTTGAGAACAAAATGATATCTGTGGAGAGAATGCTTCAGTACACAAACATCCCCAGTGAACCACCTCTCGTGATTGAATCAACTCGGCCTGAGAAATCATGGCCTTGTCGTGGAGAGATTACTATTTCTAATCTGCAGGTGCGATATGGGCCACATTTGCCTATGGTGTTGCGTGGACTGACATGCACTTTTCCAGGAGGCCTGAAAACAGGAATCGTTGGAAGAACAGGATGTGGCAAATCCACTCTAATTCAAACCCTTTTTAGGATTGTTGAACCAACAGCCGGAGAAATCAGAATCGACGGAATAAATATTTTGACCATTGGACTGCACGACTTGCGTTCCAGACTAAGTATCATACCTCAAGATCCAACCATGTTTGAAGGCACAGTT